TGGCGTAAGATCATCATTGCCTCATGCAACCTGATTGATCATATGTTGATACCCACACATAGTTCGACTGAAATTACAGATTCCAACTTACATCCTGAGGTTACGGCACAGGCGGGTTCTTCTGATGACGAATCTCAAACCCAAGAAGCGACTCAAAACGTCCTCACACTAGCGGTTGCCCATCAAGCCGAAAAGCGCAAAGCTGCAGCGGATTTAGTGCACCGCGGGAAACGGGTCAAAATATCAATCGGCTCAGGCGTTGATCTTTGCGACTGAAACTTCTCGTGAAGACGTTTTGCTGTATTGTGGTCAGTCCTTGCTCCAAGGAAGAACTGTTACAAAATTCTATATGTCGATGTGCTGTTCCGAGCTAGTCTTGCTGTGTACTCCCTCCACTCGCTGGGAATTCTAGGATTATTCGATCAAATTTGTCCGCATTCATTGGTTTCCCGTGCGAGTTTCGCAAGTTGCTAACAGCAGCGCAACGTTATTTTTTGATTTCAGCGCCGAAAGAGAACGTGGTAGGTCAAATAATCTTCACATCTATCCCGTCGTGTCTCTGGCATCCATACCGTCATATCGTTTAAAGGCGTCCGGCAAGTCCAGACAAGCCGCAAAATTTTCAGCGGTGCTCACTGTCCGACAAGGTTAAGTTTCGCTGGTCCAAAGGAAGTATAACTTTTTGATGCCAAGTCAGTCAGATATAGTTTCAGGGTGAATATGCGGTAGCCTTGAAGTCCAGACGCCGCAGGTTACGCCTCTGCCTGGATCTTCGATCTATTCGCGCATGCCACGGTGAACGGGTCGCTTCGCATCAGCGAATGATCTTCCCCTTCCTATCTCGTTCACGACACCCTAGTTTGCTGTTACGTTGAACTTACGGTTGCCCATCTAGTGTTACAGTGAGGTAATACCGTCTCGGGGAAACTTTCAATTCTGCTGCGCATAGGTTGAAGATATAAATTCGAAATTTGATTTTGCTACGAACTTGTCAGACCACGACAAGTGTTGGGAATCTAACACCTTGCCTCGGCATGCAAGTCCCATGCCATGTAGTAGTACTATGTACGCTAGTGAGTCTAATCTCATATTTGGCCCACTGCAACCGGCCCGCCGGGCGTCTGCATGGATAAATCAATAAGGCCTGCCCTAAACTGTATAAACGATAAATAATTCGAAATCTGCTAGCACCCTCTTTTTCTATCCCCTCACGATTTGGCAATTCGTCGTACTTACTTCAATTTACAGTCGACGGTCTGCATCGAGAGGCCCTCGCAGGAGATGAAATAATGGTGCATGGCATAGTTTACACCTCCGTATCTCCCTGCTGTCGATTTTACGACTGTTGGGTTCGTTAGCGTGGTGCACATTATAGTTTAATTATCAATGTTATACTTCTGTTTCTTCCGTTCACAATTATGGTCTAGCATGGTTCTACCAGTGCTGTGCGCACTGTGCAGTGCTTGGCTTGGCTGTGTATAAGATCCAATCTGTTTTGCTATAATTGACCGCCTATGTGAATGAAAGTGAGGAAATACCAAGATATAGAACTTACGATACCGTGACCGTGGTTAGATTTCGACTGTTCTGAATTTCTGACCCTTCATTTCATTGACGCGATTGCCCGCTTTTTCCTTGAGTAATCTTATCCCTCAACTGTGGTCTCTCGTCCACCCCTACAGTCCGATTCTACGCGGCTGCGAAAGGAGCTCGTCCGATGCCTTACAAGCTATCAGCCACACTATCAGCTCATTCGTCAGATGTAGGTTCTTCCAATCCATTAGTACTCGCGGGGGGATTCATCTGATCGTAACTTCCATAGGTTCGTGCAGTAGCTTCGCCAACAGAAAGTATCATCCTTTCAGCATCGCGAGATTCCACCGCGATCTCCTGGAAACGACCATCGCCAACTGTCCCCTTCACTCCTTCATCTATTCTGCGAGCTGGGTCAAAATTCGTCAATGCTGTACAATATCTCTCTCCGTCGCCTGAAGCGCCGCAAGGTAGGTCTGCCAGTGGTTAGCGTCACCTCATGTAGCATTGACCCAAGGCAGGATATGCTGTTGTTGGGGGGCAGGATACCGTCATCAATATTTTTGCCCTAGGTCCAGCACAGAAAGAGGATCCTGAATATTCGCTGGTGGGACACACCGATAATGTCTGTGCTCTTGGTGTCAGCCAATCTGGCACCATCATATCTGGCTCATGGGACAAGTGAGAATCTTCCATTGTTCAGCAAATGTACTGTTCTAACATTGAATACCACAGAACCGCCAAAGTCTGGAAACAATTCCAGCTAGTGTATGATTTGAAGGGGCATCAGCAAGCAGTTTGGGGAGTCATTGCCATTGATGACGAACAATTCTTGACCGGTGCGTGAGATCATTCACTGTTTGATACGCCAGTGACAGATCCTTCTTCGATCAGCTTCGGCGGATAAAACCATCAAATACTGGGTTCAACACAAGATGATGCGGACTTATGAGGGGCATAAGGACGCGGTTCGTGGCTTGACCCTAATACCTGACATAGGCTTTGCCTCATGTTCCAACGATAGGTAATTTATTCTCGCTATTTTTGGACGAAATAGGGTGGCTGATTAGGACTAGTGAGATCAGGGTGTGGACGATGCAGGGCGATGTGGTTTACACGCTATCTGGACACACCTCCTTTGTGTACAGTCTGTCCGTTCTTCCTAATGGAGGAATAGTATCGGGCGGTGAAGATCGTTCTGTGAGGGTGTGGCAAGGTGTGTCATTGAACTGCGTCCAACCCCATGGCATTCACTCACAAACATCAGACGGTGAATGTGTGCAAATGATCATCCATCCTGCAATATCTGTTTGGGCTGTATCCACGATGCCCAATGGAGATATTGTCAGTGGGTGTAGTGACGGTATTGTCCGGGTGTTCAGTGAATCTGAAGATCGTTGGGCCAGCGCGGCGGAGCTGAAGGCACTCGAAGATCATATCGCAAGCCAGACTATTTCGTCGCAGCAAGTGGGTGACGTCAAGAAAACCGATCTTCCTGGTCCAGACGCACTGCTTCATCCAGGTTGGCGGTCACTATTCACAGATTTTGTGAGGCTAAATTGAAATTGCATAGGTAAGAAACCTGGAGAAGTGAAAATGATAAGAAACGGCGACCTTGTTGAGGCGCATCAGGTGAGCACTCATGAATCAGCGAGATAATCATCTAAGCTAGTGTAGTGGGATAGTGCAACGTCAAACTGGCAGAAGGTTGGCGATGTCGTGGACGCCGTCGGCTCTGGAAGGAAGCAGCTTTTCAATGGCAAGGAGTATGACTACGTGTTTGACGTCGATGTGCAGGAAGGCGCACCACCATTGAAACTCCCATTCAATGCGTCCGGCAAGTATTTCATACTCGTGCTGTGGACATAAATTTGATATTTGTCTTCATCACAGAGAATCCATATGCGGCTGCTCAACGCTTTCTGGAACAGAATGATCTGTCATTGAACTACATCGACGAAGTTGTCAAGTTCATAGAAAAGAATACTGCGGGAGTCAATTTAGGCGCCAGCAATGAATACGTTGACCCGTACACCGGTAAGCATCAATGTTCAGTAGTACATCATGTGCTAGATTGCCATCAGGAGCATCAAGATATCAGACTGCCGCTACCTCAGCAGCGCCAGCCCCGTCCACGGCTTATATGGATCCTTTTACGGGTGCAGCTCGGTACAGTGGCGCCCCTGTCCCTACACCTCCAGTTCCTTCGGTATCACCTTCAGCTCCGAAAATCATACCTTATGTAAGATTTTTCTAGATAGCGATAGTTGAGCTCAATGCTGATTTCCGCAGCCCAAGTTTGTCTCTTTCAAACAAGCTAATGTATCAGCAATGCAAACAAAGTTGTACCAATTTGACGAAGCACTACGCAACGAAATTGTACGCACGCGATTGAGCTGCATTGAGCAACCTTCTGAACCCAGACATGCCAGTCCACTGCAACCCTTGCAATGTACCCCGAAGAGTTGGAGATCGTCGAGGAAGCTTTCACTTATCTTTCTCAAGTCACTTCGACACCTTCTCAACTGTCTCTTCCACCCCTCGGTGGCACCCACGCAGAAGTTATCATACAGATTTTAGAGCGATGGCCGGCGTCCCAGCGATTCCCTAGTAAGCATTACATTGTGCTAATTTCATCATTTCACTGACCGCTCTTAAGTGATGGACCTAAGCAGATTGGTAGCTGCATATTGTGCAGATGCTTCTGCAGTCCCCGGTGGACGAGAACGATTTCTCGCATCCCTGTTCAAGGCGTCTGATTGGACTGAAGTCCGATCACATGGGAAGGCTATGTCGAAGGCTCAAGAAACCAATATTCTGCTATTATTCCGCACGGTAGCTAATTGTTTCCAAGAGGGAACTCCTGTGAACGAAGGGCAGTGGGTTGCACAGGTAGGTGACTTCATTTTTCGGTTGAAGTAGTAGTTCTCACGGGAAGCAGGTTTTCGAAGCGCTCAGTCATGCACCTTACGCACTTCTGACGAAGGTTCAGCGCGTAGCTTTGGCGACCATCCTTTTCAAGTATGACTTCACTTGACCATATCAGGAAAAATGACTAAATGTCGAAACAGTTTCTCTTGTGCCTACTTGACAACATCCGTCGCTAGAGATGTGGTGAACCAACACACTGGATTAGCCCTTCAGGTACTCATCAGAAGCATGTTCTTGACCATCAACTAAGCAATTCTTAGTTGCTACGTTCAAATACAGATGATGCAGAGGTTACCTATCGCACCCTAGTTGCATTGGGGAACGTGGTAAGCGTCCTTCCATTCCGTACCAAGACTGTTTGCTCATCAATCTAGATCTATGCTGGGAATACGCGCGGCATTCCGTTAGATTCTGCCCAATCTGCGGACTTGCAAACAGTAATGTCAGCTCTCCCAGCATTCCCTGACGATAGAATCAGGAATGTGGTCGACGAAATCAGGGCACTGCTATGATGAACTCATTTTCCTTGGGTATACTTGATGGACACATTATCTGCAGACACACCTCCTCGCGTGACTCAGGAGTCTAGACATCTTGGCATGGAATGGATAACTGGTTTTGGGGCGAGTTGTGGAGGTTTATGGACTAAATAAATGATGTCCAGTGCACTTTTGCCTTCGTTGTACAAAGGTAGTCAACTAATCAGCATTGAATCAGCACTTGGAAAGTGACCGGACTTAATGATAGCCTAAGTCCTCAGTTCTTCATTAGCTCCATGACCATCCTTGCTCGGGTGTTTGTTGTGAGACACGGAGAGACGGACTCAAATCGCAACAGAATCATCCAGGGTCAACTGGATACACAGCTCAATGCCACTGGTCTTGCACAAGCTGCGGTGACTGCGGAGGCGCTCAAATCTGTTTCCTTCGACAAAGCTTTCACGAGTGATCTCCAGCGAGCTTCTGAGGTGAGACCAAACGTCTGAAACCAAATATAACATTTACAGCGCTCGATAACACTCGATAACTCATATGTCGTAGACTGCCGAGAGGATTCTCCAGTACCACACTGGCATCGAGTTGGTCAAAGACAGTGCGTTACGAGAAAGGGTGAGAGTCGAATTTAACCTCGACCTGTTGAAAAGTTGTTCATCTTTGGACAGTTTATGGGCGAGATGCAAGGCAAGAAGGGGCCAATCGACATGAAGGACCTGTCCTCGATAGAGACAGACGAAGCTTTTGTTCAACGTTGCATCGCTTGGTATAACCGGGTGATAATACCGTACATCTCCGTCACCAAACCTGACGTCTCAGAGGGCCGATGTCGGAACATAATCGTTCTATCGCACGGGGCGTTTATAGCTACGCTCTTTCGCATCATGATCTACAGCAACCATGCTACGTGTCCCGCAGAGTTGAAGCTTGGAAGCCTTCCTACATTGGGCAATACCAGTATATCCGTCGTAGAATACAGGATAGTTTCGAGAGGGAAGCGTAGAGAGGTGGAAGCTGACATATTGAAGTACGGGGATATTTCCCACTTGCGTGGACTGCATGTGATGGAAGAAAATGCTGATGTAGTAGCCGATCAATCATAGCTGCCGATTGAACACTCGTTTTGCTACCACCGCGCGCGTTGTCAGCGACAATAACATCGAGGGAGAAACGATCGAAAGAGGAAGGAAGATCGCACTATTAAGACAAACTAGTCGTAAGATCAGCAGTAGAACGAACAAAAATTCGATGCACACACCTAGTAATTTCACGTCATGTCTTTCTCCGCTGCTTGTTCAGCGAATGTGAAAATCATGGTGCCCAGAAGCCCTGGGATGATCATATCACTGTACAAGATATGTTCAAGCTCGTGATCAGTGTGGTCATTAGTCTCAGTGCTGAGTGTTGTCGTTGCAATAACCATGGTTAGACTTCACCAGATTGATCTTAAGAAAGCCACATCGGAGGTGTCTTCCGGGAAGACCTAAGCTGTACTGGTGATATTGAGCAGCAACAGGATTGTCGAGTCCACTTTTAAGATAGAGTTGACAGTGTCAGATATTTGCGCTGAGTAGACAACAAAAGGGATGCGCAACCTTGCATATTCTCGTCCCAAGATGCCAGCGATGTGCGGTGACTGCGGTCAGTTGGCAAAACGCTGCCATTCTGCCAAGTGACTACTGCCGCCGTGTCGGCAATAGGTCATGACGCTCATGATAAGCCACTTCACTCCCACAAAAGCGTCCAATGTTCTGTGTGCCGATCCCGACGGCTCGCTTCCCACCGTGACTGCGTGGAGTATGCTGGTGGGTCGACGACTAATATCAAACTCTATATCTTCAACCTCTTGAACGTTGCTTGGGCAACAGAATATTGTATCAGGCTGTCCGAACGCCTATTGTATCAATCTGATTCTGGAGCAACAAGGCATGCGAGTTTGAAACACTTCAACACCTCGGGGTCACTGCGGGGTCGAATCTCGATGGTGTACTGATGAGCCAGAGGATTGCAAAATAAGACGATTGCACACTATCGACTGTCCGGGTCTACCGCCGACATGATCTTGGGTACATCGCTTCAAACAAGACGATTCTCCGCTGGAAATATATCTAACTTTCACCCAATGTAAGCGCTATGGCCTATGGGATGCTCATGAACGACTCGACCAGGAGGAGCGCAAACATCTTACTTACTGTGAATCAATGTATCATAAAGCTGTTTCTTGCCTTGCGCTAGATGGTCAAAGACATATCCGGGCTAAGCGCTAGCCCCCGGCTCAGGATTTAGACACTTTGGGGTAGGCATCGGAGGTCCGGCAGAGTTCAGGTATGAATTTTGAACACCGCTTCGAGCGATTTGAGATGCCGCCAAATGACATCACGTTGGAGGAAACTCGTGTCTTACTCACCATCATCACCTCACCTCATTTCCGGGGCTCAGCGCTTAGCCTGTGGCCCTATCGTCATCGTGATCCGTCACGGTTTCTTTGCCTGCACCTTTGGCAAGCACATGGTTCTGACTTGATCTGCATTACTTGCGCAACCGTTTGCACGTTCATGAAGTGAAGGGGATTGGTAGGTGAGGATACTTACAACGGTAGCACTAGGGAATGTCAATCTACAAATACAAATTATATTAATGAGACTAGTGGAGTGGAAAGGGCGGTCTACATCAACGACTTTACCAACGTACGTGTGCCTACCCCGTAGTCTACCTTGACCAACAGTTCATCTCGTTTACCTATCAGGTCATTCACATCACTGAATCCACACAAACCCATCGTAACGTGTAAGTCACAGATGCTTTGCATCAAAATTTGCTCTACCCCCGCCTGGCCGGCTATCGCAAGTCCATAAACAATCGGTCGGGCGACTAAACAAAAGTATAAGATGGGAACAGAAAGGACGATGGGTGACACACTTAAAACACCCTGTGCTCCGATTGCAAGCGCCTTAATTATGTCGCTTCCTGTTCGAATTCCAGAATCGAATAGGACAGTCAGTTTACCCGATTTTTGCGCGTCAAGAACTTTCTGTGAGTGCATGATCATATCGAGCGCATCCAATGAGGCTATTGCGCCATCTATCTGACGACCCCCTAAATATCTTAATTCAACACAGTGGCGAACAAACAGATAATGTCGACAGTGATACGTACCGTGATTAGAGACGATAATCCCGTGGATGCCCATGTCGATCGCCTTCTCCGCATCCTGGTGATGTTTATGTCAGCGATAGCTCGTAACAACTCTGGATGAGCGCACGTTGACGGCTTGTATTCCCTTGAGCAAGATGGGGCCGTCCCAGTTGTCCTTGACGAATTGAAGGTCGTCCCATGTTCTGAAGATCCCAAATCCTGTCTCGGCAAGCCACTGGCTCGCAAGGAACATTGATTGTTTCGTTTCTTCGTCACCTGCCGCGGCTTTCTTTCTGATCTCTTCCTGATCGAATGGAAATTTTGGACGCTCATGTCGAGCAACGAGCCCGTGGCGTTTCATAAACACCGGGTCCGCCATACCCTGTTGGACGCCGAACCCATGTCCCGCTGGGCTGTATCCGATGCGATGGTCATGTGATCGCCATCCAATAATCATTGTGTCAACCGTGATAACGAGAGCAGTATACCCATTTTCCTTCGCACGTTTGAGGACGGACAATGCCACATCGGGAGAACGAGGCCTATAATATAATCAGGTTTCGCTATATGACACGAGACGGCACTCACCAGTAAAACTGATACCATCGTTGTCCATTCGGCCCATTGGCTTCCGCTACATCCTCAAGGGATCGCGACGCAGAAGAACTTAAAATCATCGGTACACCGACTGCCGCAGCTGCACGAGCTGTCGCAAGCTCTCCGTCAGCATGCACCAGACCTTGTTTGCCGACTGGTCCTACAAATATTGGTGAAGAGACTTTCATACCCAAAATTGTCGTCTGACAGAAGGGATTAGGAGGTCATTGTTAACCATCATTTCCAACGCTTGCCTCAACATTGCGCAATGTAGCATTGTTCAACATGCGCGGGACGATCTTCCACCTTTCAAATGCCTTCCTATTAGCATCATCGGTCGAACAGGTACCTGCACCCTTCAACGTATACTGGTATGCAACTGTCAAAAGTTGTTCAGGTTCAGTTGTGCCATCTAAATGTTGCAGCATACTAGAATTGTCCTTCATAACCTCGCGGGCTTTATCTTCGATTTCCTGGGCATCGACCGTACCGAGCACTGGCCCCTTGCCCGAGCTATAAATCTGCGACAACCAAGAGATCCATTTGTTAGGTGGTGGAGGTTGAGACGCCATAGACATCGTTGGTTCGCGACTGAGTTCAACCTGCTACTGACGAAGGTTACTGCTGGATAATTCTCTTGCGCAAGCTTCATATACTCCAGTCTGATTGCGTGGGATGTTATTTCCGAGATGACGTTCAAAAGGTCTCAGCGACGCTAGCCCTAACAGGCCTTTGGCGTGCACTGTCTCATCACGGATCATGATTCATAGAGGTGTGTGAAATCAACCTTTTTAGACATGCGGATTGGGGTTTGACAGCCAGAAAATGTATAGGTCTGTCATAGTCTAGTCCTGCCGAATCTGTCGCATCTTTCCGGTCCTGCTGCAACCTATTTGAGCAGTGCGGTGATCACGCGAGCTCGGGGCAACGATACCTTTTGAGGCGCAAGCCCGGGGGCTACACTGGGAAGCAGCACAAATGCACGCTAAAGTCAGACTCGAGAACATCTTTGCCGGGCTCAGGCTTGCCGGTGCCCAGAAATGTGGACTATCAGTCCAGCAGATTGCCAGCAGAAGAGATTACTTTGTTGGTAGTGTCGTGGTCAGAAGTCTGCTACTCTGACAACCTGTTTGGCAAAGCTAGTTCTGTCCGGTAGATGGCAAAATTATGTGCATCGTTCCCCACGCCGCCGATGTCGACTGCCTTTTCTCGGATATGGATAGCACTCAGTCTCCGAAGCGCTGCAATCTCTCGGTAGACATTCGAAATAATCACTACCATAGTCACATCAGACTCGGCCGCGGTTAATAAAAAGCTAATTTGTCGACATCATGCGCACGTGCACCGGTACCCTAACCAGCCATCAATGTCGGTGTAGCTGCTGATCTAGAAGCCAATTTTACCTCACTCACACCTCAGACTCGGAACACCGATGTCATGATCTTGTAGGTCCTGAATCCATATCACTCGATTGGATCAATGCAGCATTTGCGCTACTGCAACACAAGAAAGAAGTTATGGAAACGAGTGCCGGTTGACGGAAATGAAGTGTTGGGAGGCCAAGTTCATGGTCTTCCACCGAAATATGTACGAGATCGTACCATACACTGTCATACACGTACTTCCCCTCATCCATCTTTGTGGCGACAAATTCTGACCAGGCGTGATCCGCCTCACGACCATTTGGGATCAGATGACAATTCGGCATGTCTTTCGATGCACCATCATCAGTAAAACCTCGAATTACTTAATCAGCCTTTTTTGGACTTTTCGCTGGTTTTCACTTCTTTTCAAAAATGAGTGGCCTTTGTTGCAGTTATTTTTCTTAATTCACTGCCTCGTCCCAACTTGAATATCTGGAATAGATTATTATTATTATTTCATGCAGTTGCAATGGTTGGAGTTCACAATTTGTAAAGATTACCACTTCAGGAGAGGATTTAAACATAAAAATAATCAGTACTCTGTGCCACTTACTGGTACCAAATTTCTGTTTTTATATTTTTAAGCATGTCTCTTAGGTTTATAAAACATATTGGAACTATTCCTGATACTCAAGTTAGGACCAGGCAATGAATTAAGAAAAATAACTGCAACAAAGGCCACTCATTTTTGAAAAGAAGTGAAAACCAGTGCAAAGTTCAAAAAAGGCTGATTAAGTAATTCGAGGTTTTACTGATGATGTATAGCTCGTTTGCGTCTAAAACCATCTATTTGCCAGGTGTACCGTGTACGAACACCGTGGCGCCTTATTAAAGCACTCACACGGCGCATTGAAAGGTCCGCCACAACTGTGTGGCAGTGAGCGCACACATACATTCCACTTTGATACGTAACCAAGCTTCAATTTTTTTGTCTCTGCAAATTCATTCTACCGGTATCCTGTCAGGTAAAGTCCTGCGGCCTGGCATTGTGATACGCAATATCATATTTCCTCTCGGATTTGTATTGATTATGTTTATCAGTCAGGACTTTTGGGCCCGCACGAGGAGAACGTCCGAGTCAGATAGGCTACGGCCCGACTTCAGAGTATGCTCTGCGCCAAATATCATTTTGATAACAAAGAACAAGCCATAACCTCCGGTCGTTGCACGCAATTTTCAGAGGTATTGCGAATGTTCATTCCAAAAGGAGGCACGGGCTCACGATATCTGGTATACTTCGCTCATCGAGGGATATTTGACGAGTTCATTATCGGTCATCCAGCACACCACGAAGAATGACAAATAAGAACAGAAAGATTGGTAAGTAACCAACCAATCTCTCCACTTGAAGCTAATCTATGTGTATCCTACTAGTGGGGCAAGCAGAAGCAGTGAATCCAATGCATCATCACAAACTTTCATGAAAAATATGTCAGCATTAAATGCATGAATAATGGTGCCAACATGGCACTCCCTTGAGAGATAGCGTCCGAGGCTCGGGAGGTCGCGGATATCCTACAAATAATTAAAAGAAACTTACGGAGCTCGAGGAAGTGGTAAAGGAGAAAGAGAATAGGCTCTTGCGCTCACAGTAGATGTGTGTCCTCTCCATAGTTATGTTCAGAAATTGATGGGGACCGTCACCATGGTTCTGTGTTGGACGCGAAGACTGCTAAGCTCCGAGAACCCATAGCGTTTTGAACCCAAGCTCGACTTTTACCCCAATGAGCAAGTCCGTGTGACATCAACCTGCGATCTTCGTGCGTCGTTTGTGTGCCAACCTTCGACCAAGCCCAGTAAGAACGGAAAGGAGCAAGGATGCAGCTCATAGTAGGCGGTCTGCAAGATCTCCCGCAACTAATGCGATTCTGGGTGAATGAAGAGCTGTGTACCCTCATCCCAAACTAGGCTGCCTGTTGTTCTCATGCCTACCCTTTGACGTCGTAGGACGTACACAGTTCCCGGTGTGGCTATACGAGACCACTTGTCGTTTTCAATGTAACCTCTACCAAATCTTCTGCTAATGCAAGCGAGTCGGCATACACAACGGATGTTACAGGATCGTTCGCAATAAGTTTGGCGATGGGCCTGTAAATACTTCGCTGTACACAGCTTTGGTTTTAATGGCCAAAATGGCTGGCACGTCAGATGGTAGTACTTATGTTCGCAATAAAATGGAGGTGCAAAAAAAAACCACCTTGATGGTCATCGTTATGTCATCCCAGAACAATAGAATAAAAATAGAGTAAGAGTATGACAGTAGAAAATACTAAGGTACACTCGCCCTTGATCTGCGTTTCATCATATGCAGGAGAGTTGATGTCCAGCAGTAGGTGATATCCCGGATTTCCACTGCTACGAGAACTGAGGTATCGCCTATCATACAAGTCGGAACGAAAATGGCCTGGAGCACGGAACACTGAGTGGCTAAGAAGGTACCGATTCACAGCCGGCATTCTGAGACATATCAAGGCTTGACTGGAGGCTCAGTGGGGGGAACACCCGATTCTGGGAAGTCATTGGGTCTTGCAATTCTTTTTGGTTCCCAGTCTTGCTCCCCAGCAGCACTTAGTTTCTGATACGTTCACACTAGTAAGATCTTGAGAGACGTGCTTCACGAAAACTCACATAGTATTCCTCCCTAATGTCAAACTTTTTCTTCTTGCGATCAAGACCTAGAGCTTGCTCGTTGCTCATCTATGAGAAATTAAGTACATGATAAGATTCCGCACGGTGAAGTCAAACCTGCTTGACTTTCTGGTCCTGTAGGTCATATCGAGTTTGTGTGAAAGTCTGAAGACCAAACGAGGCGCCAATTATGATGAGAAGAAAGGGAACACCGAACAGTGCAGGATTTCGCTTCAACCTTGAATGGAGCGGTGACGGATTGATGGGCTTTGAAGAAAATGGCATATGATGTTCAGCCTTGGTCGGTGGTGGTACTAGTAGCCAGGCGTGGACAAGAACTGACTACCTTTTCCGGATGATTCAGACTTATCCGAAGATGTCCGAAAATTATATCATTAATCTCATTTCTTTTCCACATCGCAGCTCCTGCCAACTGGCTGAACCCGTATCACAGAAGCTCCTTTGTCCATGAGCGGTATGTCAATCTTTTCAGTACCGCCGATCTTTGATTACCGATCCTGTCGCAGTAACCGTCGTGCTTGGTTCGCAATGGGGAGATGAAGGCAAAGGCAAGCTGGTCGATATCCTATCGGCTGACTTCGACGTCTGCGCGCGATGCGCAGGTGGCAATAATGCCGGACACACAATCGTCGTGCCCGTTGGACCGGAGAAGGTGAAGACCACCTTTGCTTTCCATCTTCTCCCAAGCGGTTCGTGATCAGTTCTTATGATCCTTTGTATGTCATTGATCTATCCATTCGGTAGGTCTGGTAAACCCAACATGTGTAGGCCTGATTGGTTCTGGAGTTGTTGTCCATGTGCCTTCCTTTTTTGAAGAGCTCGATGCCTTGGAGAAGCAAGGTCGGGTTCATTATGGTTGAATGTGCTTTAGCGATGACATGGTTACCCAGGCCTGAACTGCTCGAATAGAATATTTCTTTCAGATAGAGCTCATCTCGTGTTCGACTTCCACCAAATTGTAGACGGCCTGAAGGAGGTGGAGCTCGGTGGTTCCAGGTATGAACCTTGATGTGATTCTTACAATTCTTATCATTAACAAACCTGTAGCATCGGAACCACGAAGAAAGGCATAGGCCCGGCTTACTCCGGGAAAGCCTCTCGTTCGGGCCTCCGAGTGCATCACCTTTTTAATCATGATACCTTTGCGCAAAAGTTTCGCAAGATCGTGGAGGGTCGTTTCAAGCGTTATGGCCATTTTGAATATGATACAGAGGGCGAGATTGCGCGCTATAAGGTCGTATCTCATGTTTTCCCCGTTAAATATCATCACTGAACATGACGTAGGTTCTTGCACAGCGACTCAAACCTTTCGTTGTGGATAGCGTAGAGTATATTCATGGCGCGCTGGCTGCGCGTAAGAAGGTCCTCGTTGAAGGTGCAAATGCGCTCATGCTTGACCTGGATTTCGGGACGTATCCCTACGTCACCTCATCATCCACCACAATTGGTGGTGTATGCACTGGTCTTGGCATACCTCCTAAAGCGATTGGACACACCATTGGAGTTATCAAGGCATATACCACTCGGGTTGGAGGAGGACCATTTCCAACTGAGCAGCTTAACGTTGGTCTTCTTATAACAATACATACTCAAGTATTCACGTATTTTCAGCACATCGGTGTCCACTTCCAAGAAGTTGGAAGGGAGTATGGCACTACCACAGGCCGAAGGAGACGTTGCGGCTGGCTGGATCTCGTCGTCATGAAACACTCAAGCCTCATAAACGGATATGATTCGCTCAACTTGACGAAATTGGATGTCTTGGATGAATTAGAGGACATCAAAATCGGGGTCAAGTACATGATCGACGACAAAGAACTCCAATATTTCCCAGGTGAGTTAACCATCGGACAAAGCGAAGCATTATTCACAATCCGTCAGCCGATCTTGATGTTCTGGCCAAAGTCACAGTGGTCTATGTGACACTTCCTGGGTGGAAGACGCAGATCAGCTCGATAACATCGTTTGACGACCTCCCAGATAACTGCAAGAGTTACGTAGGGTTCATTGAGAATTTCTTGGGTACGCCTATAGAGTGGATAGGTGTCGGACCAGGACGTGAAAGCATGCTGAAGAAGACCGGCAGGATATTAGCGTCGAATTAGCAAGCTACAGCTGAACATGGTATTAGACTATATTAGTAACTTCTTCTCACGCTCATCAGTCCAGTGTGGTTGGTGTGCGTAACCCTGTTTGGTCTCTCCTTCGTCACTCTCTGTCACGACGACGGTCACCTTCGCTGAAGACGCCGTAACAAGCGTCACATCCAAGGCTCAGTCACATCCGGACAATGCATGCTATGGACCCAGGGGCTCATCATAATCCATCACAGAGCACCCTCACACCAGTTTCATCTGCCCGTAGACGTTCGCGAGAAAATGAGACGCCCCAACAAAGGCAAAAACGAGAGAAGGCTGCGGAGCGGCAGCGCAGGAAACGCGAGCGTGATCGTACTGTCAATAACATCAATGCAATAATGGCATTTACGCAACCCACGGATGCCCAGGCTCTTCCCCAACCTCAACCATCTCAGCCACCCACTCCGACTTTTACCGGTCAAGAAATGACGCCTGAGGAACTTTCTAGGCGCGAAAGAGTCAGGGCCGCCGCCCGAGAACGGCAACGTAAACACCGGAGTCTTGTTAAGCAGCGGAAGATGCGGGAACTGGGACTGGATATGCCCAATGATATGATGCAGGGGATGGAAGAGTACAGAGTAAACGGAGACGGCCAGTATCAACAGGTTCTTCCCCATGAGATGTCACACCAGCCGCATCCAATGAACCCGCAAGACCCGTCCTTCCCTCAAGCACCACCTCCACAACTTACCGGCGGACAAAATTTTGCTTCAACGTTACTGCTATCTTTTTCATGCGCGCCCCTTCTTAAACAACATCTTCTAAGGACGTTGGCGATCACGAGCGAGGAACTTGCTTCCTTGGAACCAGTCATAGCAGAAGCCTTTGATCAATGGGATCATCAAGTACGAGCCACTGTCTCTTATAGCTACTGAAATAACTCACCCAATACTAGCGTCGCATGCACTATGCCCAACAAGCTGCAGTCAAAGCTGCAGACGGCTCTATTCCTGGACCATCGGCTGCCCCATTTCCAAATGTTGATATGGCCGACCCTGGTAGCAGTGGGTTTGGGGAACCTCCTCAGCCCCACCCGAGTGAGTTCCGTGCTCGATTCCATCGCCCTTTAGTGGCACCTTCCCCTTTCCGCAATTTTAATCCGGATACTTCTACAACTGCCACGACTTCTACGCCAACTTCAACCACGACGTCTGGACCTCCTTCAGACCCAATAGATCCAGCTCTCAGCGCCGTGGTGACACCTGCTGACACCAGACAAAAGAGTGTGACAGCTGTGGATCCAGACTTTGGACAGGCTAAAGGAGAAGCGGAAGGGGTGGCAGGAAGGTTGGAGAGGTCGTGATCACATACACATCACGTAGCGCATGTAGCCTTTTATCGCATTTCCTATCCCTCACATACTTATACTAGCATCGCACCATAACTGTACTGGCCTTTTTGATGCCGTAGTATTCTTGTCTCGGTGCCTGACAGTATTATGTGTGTCTCCGTAATTCGGAGAGCACACTTATTTAAAACTTTGAGCGGTCTGTCCTCAAGTTCCCCCCGGTATCATAAAAGGATATGTTTTTTGTGTTTCAAACTGTAGAAAAACCACCTGTAAATATATGACAGCAAAATGCACGAGATGTGTCTGCAATGGTGTAGTACGAGTCCGAATCATGGTATGAAGGAAGAAGAGGGCGAGTTCATAGCTATACGATTCATACTATATGACCTTCAACACGACGAGTGTCGCACTCAAGCCTCGGACTTACCTAGAACATATTTTGCAATTTGTTGAAACGCATGATTGATGTCCTCAATTACAATTACTTCAGCGCTTCCGAAGTTCTGAAGCCTAGAGAAGCCAACTTGTGGACAGATGACATCACCAGTGCTCCGAGGGCCCATGAAACGTTGGGACATCGATGCATCAACTTTGCAACGTTCAGCACCGCAAACTTCGACATTGATGATCTGCTTGGTCACTAAAATCAAGATATGATTATTGATTCAATGGAAATCGACTTGAAACTCACAGATGATTATATATTATACCCTTCAGGTCGATACTCTACAGTTGCAACCTGCGGCCACTCAAGTACTCACCAGTGACCGGCCGTGACCAATGAACTGTCAAGCACAAATGCAAATCGCCTCTCCCATCCTGAAGATAGTTAATATGCCCCTGGCAGAACTGCCACTTGACTTGTCAGTGTCATGCCGCCAAAGTAGGAAGGTCGTGTTGAACCAATTGAAGCTCCGACTCAAAAAGGCCGAATTCGAGCGGCGGCGATACGAAATACACAGAAAGCAATTCTTGCAGTTCTAGCCTTTGACAACAACCATGGCACTGAGCTTTATAGGGTATGTAGATTTATACTCATTTTGCAATTGTTTCTGATCACCACTGCTCAGAAAACCAATTTCTCTCATATCCCACTCTGATGTGCGGTATCGAGGAATACTGGCGGGTATTGACCCCGCTGCTTCCACGATCCAACTCTCAAATGGTGAGTTTCACTTTCTGCGGTTGTTCAGTTGGTCTTATATGGCTTCTAGTGTTTTCTATGGGTACAGAGTCGAGAAGGTGAGCCATTGTCCTTGTTCTGACACCGCCAGTTTCTGCCTCGCCTTCTCCTCACGACGCGTAATCTGACATCAAACTCGCGTCAGGCCACCCTCAGAATTCATTCCTCCCGTCCAAGAACCATACCAATACATAATTTTCCGCGCGTCTGAGGTCAAAGATCTTGCAGTTGATGAACCAGCTACTCCGAGTCTTCGTAGTGTTCACGACGATCCTGCGGTGCTGGGGGTGAGTGATTTTTCCCTACCTGAACACACCATAATAACCTAGTATGGTAGGCGTCTGCTCCAGGAACTCAACCCCAGTACGGTGCATACGGTCCTCAATACCAACAGCCTGTCGTAGCCCAGCCTCCACCGCCACAAGCTCAGGCTCCTGCCTATCCTCAGCCTGTGCCAGTGCAAGATGCGCCAGCTCCCCCGACGGTCCCTGTCGTGCAAACGACTGATGCACCAGGTCCTAGCACTGGCCCGAGTCGCGTCAGTTCGGTACACACTGCTGCTGCATCAATGGAAACAGTTCAGCGCGCTTTAGGAGACTTGCGTGGATCCGGAAATACGGCGCCCCCGCATGGAGGTCGTGGTGGCCGACGTGGTGGTCATCACGGTCATGGTGGAGAGACAAAAGATATCAAAGTCCCTGCGACGGATTTCGATTTCCAGAGCTCGAACGCCCGGTTCGACAAGACGGCAGTTGCACCAAAGAAGAAGGATAGCGATAATGAGAATGGCGTTCCCTCCGACCGTGACTCGCCGACGGACAAAAAGGATGAGAAAGACGATGTGGCCTATAACCCAACGAAATCATTTTTCGATTCTTTATCGTCTTCAACTCAAGCTGCTCCGCCACCAACACGAGGCACCGGTGGACGGCGAGGTGGTGGAGGCAGAAATCGTAGGGAGGAAGAAAGAGAGCGCAACGTGGCTACATTTGGTGAGCCTGGGGGCGTAGGACTGATGGGCCCGGGCGCTTATGTCGGAGGTTGGGGTGGATATGGACGACGAGGGGGACGTCCAAGGGGGCGTGGTGCGCCTCCTGTCGGGGGCCGTTAGCTTCGCATAATTTTTACTTGCACCAGTCGTCTGTTCATCTTTGCTGTTTCAGGCTAGTAATCACCAGTATCAGTACGGAACCCATACTCGATTCGTGTCGGCGCTATGTACCCTCTAAAGGGGTTCGCATGTACTTTCGCTAATACGTCATGCAACAATTCATCTCGTTGCAGAATTCGGGCTTGCAAGATTTTCTTGTCCCAGACTCCCAATTTCAAGAGTCAACTTACATTCTAACAAATGTTAAAATCAACTCGAAAGTACCGGCCTCGCACGCGACAGAGTAGTGAAATGAGTGGACCTGTAGGTATTCGAGTGATGTTTGATTGTCGAATCGGCTCTATCTTGTAACTGTCATTATTTAGAGATCTTCACATCCATAACTCTTGACACCAATCCCGCTCCTTTCTGGGACCCGCGCCCTAGCTATACCGTCGTCGCCGGTTGATTTCTTTGTTGGAACACCGCATCAAGACTGGATGGCATGTCAGCGCAACGTTGACTCTGGGATGATGACGAGTCTAGGAGTAGCAGGTTTAAATGCTGGTGGGTCATTTGTATGGAAACGAGTTGCACGGTATTAATGAAAGGAAGATAGAAAACAAAGAACCAATGTAAAGAGATGTTATGCTAACGAGTGTGAGTGAATGAATAGCAACAACTTGCGATGTGAGTCCTTGTATGAAAAGCTCGAATTTCAAATAGAACGACAGAGTTGACAGCGTCTCGGCTCAGTTGGACGCGTGGTGTTGACTCTCCGGCAGGCTCCGAATCGGCACCTTGCTCATCTCCTCGCGCTTGCTAGGAAAGTTGGAATCAAGTTCTGCGCGCTTGTCAACTCCACCGGGCGAGTCCGCGTCGGGTGAATCCGAGTTAGCGTTGAGTAGGCCGTCGCCGAATGGGGGGTCAAGTGTAAGTACGGGAAGTGTGTGAATTGTGGGAGGACAGGTGGTTGTATCAGTGTCAAGCTCCGCGCGCTTGCTAGACTCATCAGGTGATGTAGGTAGAGTAGGTGCGGAACAGGCGGTGCTGTCAAGCTCCGCGCGCTTGTTAGGTGTGTTAGGCAAGTCGGGCGCGCTGGGAGCGCCAAGGTCCCTAGATTCAGGCCCATTGCTACTGATAGGAAAGTTGGAGTCAAGTTCTGCGCGCTTGTCAACTCCATCAGGTGAATCCGAGTCAGGGTTGGGCGTGATGAGTGGGGTGAGTGGGCTGGGACTACCGACGACCCTAGTGTTTTGATCGAGGTTAGAGGTAAGCACCCCGCGCCTGGCCAACGCTACATCGCATATCAGCATTGATCTGACTATGTCGAGCGAAAACATGAATCCTCACATGTCGTCAACAAATGTGGTGCTGGATATGCCGCAGCAATGATGACAAAGGCCATGAGTGCCGTGAAAGAGTGTGAGAGCTGCATATTGAGATCGACAAGAGTGAGTAGTATCAATGTCGGATCCCGTCAGTCATAAGAACTTTTATACCGTTCCCAAGCACCCGACAAAAACAGGAGTACTTCGGTCTAGAGATGCATTTCGGGTCCGTGTCTCGTTATTCTCGTATTTGGCTGCAGCCTGCCAGTGATGGCCTGTGACTCTATGACTCCTTGAGGTCTGATGGGGACTTGTGTTTCTGGAACACTCCAGTCTCCGATTTGGCGAGCCTATCTAGTACTTCGGCAGAATACCAACAGGGTAAACACTCGATAAATTGTTCGAGTAACGACATGCCAATCAGACCTTTTAGAACTAGCCTTTAGTCACTAAAGCCAACCAAGGCTTGCGCGGGTATGGGTTGAGGACTTTGTTACTAGTACTGACGTAAGTGATGCGTTCAGGGGGTTGTGTCACCCACCTGGGAACCGATCTACTTCGCACTCAACTAATAGACACTGGCCCAGACATTTCTTGGTTATAGCTGTGTTGCCAATAATTCAATCACACTACGTATACCAGCTGCAGCAGCGCTAGCGTTAAGTTAGTGCGTTGGATGAAAATATTCAGTCCACGCAACGTTACTGTTAGATAGTAGTACCGCCACAAGAATGGTCGAATCAGTTTATCCTTTCGTGCATAACACCAACGTCATAAATAAGCGAAGCAAGAAGAAAGCGAGTTAAGGAGTAGGGAAACGAGAAGAAAGCGAAAGGGGAGTGGTCTGGGGTCAATCAAAATAGTTTACGTGCCCTAGTTACTTTAGTATAAGAACACGTCGTGTCGAAAAGCCATCCAAGTTGAAGACATTCTTCATGACTGAGCAGGGCTCACCACACGACTTGGACTCGACTCTTCCAGTGTTTACACCCGAAGTTAAGAGAATGGGTGGTCAGAGTCGACTTTACCTCAGCGATTCGTCGCCTCCCTTGTACTCTAGCAGTGCGCGGCGGTCACTGTTCTTACGCGTCGGCGCTGCCTTCTTCGCAGGATTCCTTATATGCCTGGCTGTAGTTGCACGATATGCCTCAAACCGATCATGCTTGCCATTTTCAGCCTTCGCTGCTTTACTGCCTACGGACGTGGGAACACCCGAATGGCACCAATACCCTCCGGCCGAGCCCACCAACGCATTTCCCTCCGCGTTTCCATCCAAGTACGTCTCTCTAGCTGCTGCTATTTCTCAAGGCTGGAGCCGTAGTCATGTAGTGTTGGCTATCCCGGTCGAACACAAGCAGGTGCAGAGCCTGGCGTAGCTGCTACAGCTCCTGCCTATCCTTTGCATTCTAATGTAGCGCACCTTGTACCCCCTACGCGTTTTTCTCAGGACAACACGAAGGCCACAACGAAGGACTTCAATATTTTCCGTAGCTGGGGAAGCTCATCTCCGTGGTACTCCATCCCACGTGGAAAATTTGGTGTAGATTCTAGTCCAGAAGCCCCCGACACCTGCAACATCACTGGCGTGCATCTTCTACATCGACACGGTGCACGATACCCTGCTGACTATGGTGAGTCCTCCACATCTCGATTTTGAAGTAGTTTCTGAGAGAGGCTTTGCGCAATAGCTAGCGGTAGCGGGCCGAGTGGATTTGCCTCCAGGTTAAGCAAGAATGCAGAAAATATCACCGTTACTGGACCTCTTTCATTTTTGGACAACTGGTGAGGTTGCCGAGAAAATCCACAAGGTAGCCGATATCTGACCCCATCCACAGGACTTACAAGCTAGGAAGCGAAGGTAACTGTCATATTATCGAAATGCGCTCCAAGGCTCAATTATTGTCAGGATTAACACCTTTCGGGAGGTCTCAATTGTGTAAGGGAATCATCATCTCGCATGGCAGCAGATTGTAATATTCATATAGTCGATCTCGGCGTGTCAATGCGCATGAGATACGGGTTTCTTCTGAAGGTAAATTTTTCATGTTTCCCTGCTTTATTCTTCAGTTTGACCATGCCATTCAGAATTTCAGCGAAACGAGTTCCTTGCCCGTGTTCAGAACAGACTCCCAGTAAGTATTTCAAGGGTCGATAATACACATTCTGAAGATGACGTATGAAGAACTCGGATGCTGGACTCTGCGCATAACTTTGCTCTTGGATTTTTTGGTTACCCTCTCGAGGGTCAGTACCAACAAGAGATCATGATTGAAGCCAGAGGTGTAAGTCATTTTAACTACTCTAAGATATTCGATTGGTAATATGAGCATGTCAGATCAACAATACTCTCGCCCCTTATCGATCTTGCCCCAATAATGACATTCCGAATATCGGCTACCGCGGGGCACCACTTACTGATGCATGGAATGCAGTGTATCTCAGGGATACCGTCCCTCGTTTGCAACGACATGTTGATGGGTTTGAATTGGGTGTCCGAGATGTTTATGCCATGCAAGAATTGTGCGCCTACGAGACGGTCGCTCTTGGTTATTCCAAGTTCTGCGAACTCTTCACGGAGAAGGAGTGGGAAGGCTTTGATTATTCGTAAGAAACCTCTTCTATGCAGTTTGCACCCCGCTGATCTTAACCAGATCCGATATTCACTATTGGTGCGTTCTCTCCTTCACTTGCCACCCCAAATTGAATTTTGATTGATATATATATATAGGTACAGTGTAGCTTGGGGCTCACCTATAGCCAGGGCACAAGGAATTGGCTATGTGCAAGAGCTTGTGTCTCGTCTCACTCAAACGCCGATTGAAACACACAATAGTTCCACTAATGCGACACTTCATAACACTGTCACTTTCCCCCTTGGAGACAGCCTTTATGTGGACGCAACGCATGAAACTGTAGTATTAAATGGTCAGCTCGTTGATGAACCTGAACTTGGAAAGCATCCTAATTTTTGTTCATGGACAGTTCTTGCTGCATTGAATATTTCGAGCTTTGCGGCGATGGGACAATTGCCGACTGATCATATACCAAAACGGCGCACGTTTAGGTCGACAGAGCTTGCTCCATTTGCAACCAACGTACAGTTCCAACGTGAGTAATCCCCTAATCCTTCAAAACTCCACTTGATTTTATTTGTCCTCGCAGTTCTGTCATGCTCCACGGAGCCCGACCCACAAATTCGTGTGATCGTTAATGATGGTGTTGTGCCGCTGGCAAACCTAGATGGGTGTCAAGATCATCCAGATGGGATGTGTTCCATTCATGCTTTTGTCGACGCGCAGAAGGAGAACATCCGGAGTACGGACTGGAACTTCGTATGTAACACCAACTTGACACTCCCCGATGGATGGAAGACTACCACGGGCTACCCTGTTTAGATTCGTCGCCCAGTGTGCCTACATCCTGGTGCTATGAATGTTGTCGATAGTAATTTGCCAAAGAGCGATACCCGTGAATCTCCTCATGCATTACATATCAGCAAATGTTGGCGAGAGGCCTCGAAAAATCAAAATGCTTGTGCACAACATATGCCCATCATCTGCACGCCCTTGATCCAAAATTATCTCATTACCGCAATACGTTTTTTTTCAACATCACCTGATAGATAGACAACACTGGAAAGGACAAGATTGAACAATGTATTGAAACAGTACCTTGATATATTATAGTCGATAGCCCGTCATAAGTAACCGCACCACGAAAGGGAGTTGAAGTGCAAGGACAGACACGATGATGTGTTGACAAGGGTAATTTCAGCCATGCACAGAAATTTTCAGCACATGAGCACGAGGATGCGTAGAATTCAGGGTAATAAATGGCAGACTTCTCCAGCGAGGCCGAACGGATGAGACAGACATGACATTGTCGAAACGTGTGCGCGACTTGCGAAGACACTTGAAACTGTAAGAGAGATCGACACGACGATGAGCAAGAATGCACGCGCAAAGCATCACGCAGTTCATCTTTGCGATGACCGAGACGCCAAGGAACGGTATGCGGTTAACAAATAGTTCTCAGATTATTTTTTATCAAAAAAAGTCAAGTTTTCCATCAGAACACGCACAGATGTATCAACAGAACAGAAGACGCCAGCAGAGTAGACTGAACGAAAGGACAAGCGACTGCGGGAAACTGCATGAAACTCGAAATTCTGGCGTAGAATGCAACTGCTTATCAATTGCTCGCCGTCCCGAGGGAGAGGAACCTCAGAAGCTATAAGAGTTTTGGCTGCAAACGTCTTTGAGCACGACAAGAATAAAAATATGGAAGGGACGAACAAGCGTCATTGCATGTGCTTGTAGAATCGGATAAGGCACGCGCACTGACTTCTACAGCGAGGCCGAACGGATGAGACATGCTGAGACAAATTTTCGATTTAGACAAATGACCTGGTATTGTGTCAAGCGCAGAGAGAGAAAAGAAACATGTGACGTAGGGGCTCAGGTATTTTGCCGCATCACTGCCGCAACTTGCCGCACCACTAACGCACCACACCGAAACCAACATTCAACGCTCATTTCCGACAACTACTCTAATCATACACAAGCTAATTGACCTAGCAGCATTACTCGTCGAACTCATCAACTATGCGCCTCTCGGACATGCCTTTGAGAGGTTGAATTTAGAGGACGTGTTGGGCGTGTTGCGGCACGGATGCGGTAGTGGGCGCGGCAGCAGTGAGTCCTAGTAATATAGTACGAGACGATGACATTCAGAGTCAGACTATATGGATTCTAGAGCACCCACTTTACAATGACCTGTCACTCTCGACAGGCACCTGCTAGTTACAATCTGTTATATATGACTCAGTGGCACGCACCAAGACCGATGGAATCCATATGAGGGTCTCCCCGAGCACTGGAATCATGGTGACCGAGATCCGTATGCACCAGAATTTGAAGGAGAACTGGATGTGCGTCGTTTTCATATTCACAGTGGGAGGTTGCTAGTGATGTGCACGGCCCGGCTTCAGGCCGTGGGCCAGGCCAAGCCGGGCCTGAATAGGCCAAGCCAAGCCGGGCCAAACTCACGGCCTGGTGACGGCTTTGGCCTGGCTTGACATTATGAAAAGCCGAAGCCGCCGGCTCGGGCCGCGGCTTTTGAAACTGTGCCTGAGCCTTGCGGCGCCCAAGCTCAACTGAGAATCTGGTTTCTATCTCGTCTTGTTTTAGCTTTTTAATCACTTCCATCGTGCTTCACGTCTCTTAACTATACCAACTATCGACATCAAGCTGTAGAAACCAGCCAAGATCACTCCCTCTTTGCAATACCCTTCTGGCTTTCTGATTCAAGTGTCCGTCACGAGTGTGTGTATAGATCTAGTACGCTCATTCGTCCTTGTAACTAAAATCTGAACTTACTATCATATCTATTAAAGGCCCATCATGGCTCAATCAGGAAGACACTGGCACCCCAATCCACAACTCATGCAGCAACATTCTATGCCACAGGGTTGGCAAGGCACCTGGCCCCCACCAGCTGGCGTTGCTCTTCCTCCAAACTTTCCTGGTCCACCATCCATGCCGCCTGGCGCCAACACTCACCCACATTGGAAAGCTGGCTTTTGGCAGTATAAACCTACCTCCAACATGAATGGTGCAGGTCCCGGTGTTTACTGGGCAACCGGCATGAGGTGGGCTCGGAATGTCCCTGCTAACTTTAATCCTTACAAGCGCGTCCCCCGTCCTGCAAGCCCGAGCTACTGGAGGACACAGCTCTCCGAAAATGGTCTTGGTTTTGGAGAACATGGTCCCTGCAAGGTGTGTGCGTGATTTGGCCTCCAAACTACGTTCGCAAGATGGAAGGCGTATCGAATCTAACATACGCATGTCTGAACTCGGTACAGTAGCGCTCTTCCTTTAGAGTCAAAATTCACCACCGCAACCCTCACCCGTGCACTTGGATCCAGCGTTCCCTTTCTACTCATGCATCTCCCTCCACCTCCGTCAATCTCTTCGGGTAACGCATGTCACGAAGAAACCGCCGAAATTCCACCGCCGCTCTCGACTGCCGCGATTTATCTGCAGGTGAGTCATGTGGTTGAATCCTGGTTTCACAACGACCTGCTCATGCTCACTTTGTCAGAATCGCAAATTCCCTACTCGAGCCGCGGCTCAGGCCAGAGCCGGGCCAAAGCCAGCCGTCATTTGCGGCTTTGGCCCGGCTTGGATTTTTTGCAGGCCAGAGCTGTCTGAAGCCAGGCCAAAGCCGCGGCTTTTGGGCCAAGCCGGGCCGGAACATCACTAGAGGTTGCATTAAAACAGTGCCAACCAACAGTGTGGGCCGAACTTTAGTGAAGGAAGTGAGCCCGAAGTTGTTAAGAAAGAGAAACATACCAAAAAGCCCAAACCACGGCCCCAGCCACGGCCAAGGAAGGTGAATGGAAGTACTTGATGTGCGGAGGATGAGTATGCTGTTGTGCTCGCCTGTGACTGGGTGCATTGATTCATATGTGAGATGCATGGTTGTTAGTCCGTATATTGTATGATGAGGGTGCACATGTACGTATTTGTCCTTGGTCAGACCACTGAGAGCCCACTCGTCGAACTTGGGAGGAGCGTCTATGGCAGTCGCAGTATACTTGGTAAGAAGGATGCGTTGGTGCGGTGCGGTAGTGCATAGCCACCAAATCTCAGAATTGCCGCATCCCACAGCCACAAAATCTCAGTATTGCCGCACCACACAGCCACAAAATCTCAGAATTGCCGCACCCTACCGCGTCACTACCGCACCCATGAAGTACTATATTCACTATGATACCACGATAATTCTTACACAAAAACGTGTACTATGGTATCTCTTAATCATAAATCATATTTAAGACCTTTGTGGACGACGTAGACATATTATATACGCATATAAGACACTTGTTGTGTAGGGTGCAGCACGGATGCGGCAGTGATGCGGCAAAATCCTAAGGCCCGTGACGTAGGAACACAGACCTGGACCAAGATAGGTCCAGGAAAGTAGTACCGCCAAAATTAAATGGTCGAATCAGTTCATCATTTCATGCATAACACCAACGTTATAAAGAAGCGAAGCGAGAAGGAAGCGAGTCTAAGGAGTAGGGAAAGCGAAAAGAAAATGGTTTGGGGTCAATCAAAATAGTTTACGTGACCTAGTTACTTTAGTATAAGAACGCGTCGCGTCGGCCATCCAAGTTAAAGCACAAATATAACATTCTTCATGGCCGAGCAGGGCTCACCACACGACTCGAACTCGACTCTTCCAGTGTTTACGCCCGAAGTCAAGAGAATGGGTGGTCAGAGTCGACTTTACCTCAGCGATTCGTCGCCTCCCTTGTACTCTAGCAGTGCGCGGCGGTCCCTGTTCTTACGCGTCGGTGCTGCCTTCTTCGCAGGATTCCTTATATGCCTGGCTGTAGTTGCACGGTATGCCTCAAACCAATCATGCTTGCCATTTTCAACCTTCACTGCTTTACTGCCTACGGACGTGGGAACACCCGAATGGCACCAATACCCTCCGGCCGAGCCCACCAACGCGTTTCCCCCTGCGTTTCCATCCAAGTACGTCTCTCTAGCTGCTGCTATTTTTCAAGGCTGGAGCCGTAGTATGTAGTGTCGGTTATCCAGGTTCAACACAAGCAGGTGCAGAGCCTGGCGTAGCTGCTACAGCTCCTGCCTATCCTTTGCATTCTAATGTAGCGCACCTTGTACCCCCTACGCGTTTTTCCCAGGACAACACAAAGGTCAAAACGAAGGACTTCAATATTTTCCGTAGCTGGGGAGGCTTATCTCCGTGGTACTCCATCCCACGTGGAAAATTTGGTGTAGATTCTAGTCCAGAAGCCCCCGACACCTGCAACATCACTGGTGTGCATCTTCTACACCGTCACGGTGCACGATACCCTGGTGGCTATTGTGAGTCAACCACATTTAGACTTTTAAGTAGTTTCTAAGGGAGGGATTGCGCAATAGCTAGCACTAGTGGGCCGAGTGGGTTTGCCTCGAAGTTAAACAGGAATGCAGAAAATGTCACCGTTACCGGACCTCTCTCATTTTTGAACGACTGGTGAGGTTGCTTAGAAATGAACAAGGTAGTCGATGTCTGACCCCACTTCCGCAGGACGTACAAGCTAGGAAGCGAAGGTAGCCACCATACGTTATCAGAATGCAGTTCCAATACTTAATTATCGTTAGGATTAACACCTTTCGGGAGGTCTCAATTGTGTAAGGGAATCATCATCTCGCATGGCAGCAGATTGTGATATTCATATAGTCGATCTTGGCGTGTCGATGCGCATGAGATACGGGTTTCTTCTGAAGGTAAATTTTCCATGTCTTTTTGCTTTATTCTTCAATTTGACCAAACCATTCAGAATTTCAGCGAAACAAATACCTTGCCTGTGTTCAGAACGGAGTCCCAGTAAGCATTTCAAGAGTCAATAATTCGCACTCTGAAGATGACGTATGAAGAACCCGGATGTTGGATTCTGCGCATAACTTTGCTCTCGGATTTTTTGGTTACCCTCTCGAGGGCCAGTATCAACAAGAGATCACGATTGAGGCCAAAGGTGTAAGTCGTTTGAACTACTCTGAGATACCCAACAAATAATGCGTGCATGTCAGTTCAACAATACTCTCGCTCCTTTTCGATCTTGTGCCAATAGTGGCAATCCAAATCGGGCCTTCCGCGGTGTATCACGCGCTAATGCATGGATAGAAGTGTATCTCAAGGATACCGTTCCTCGTTTGCAGCAATATCTTCATGGGTTTGATTTGGATGTTCAAGATATTTACGCCATGCAAACATTGTGTGCCTTTGAGACGGTTGCTCTTGGTTATTCCAAGTTCTGCGAGCTCTTCACGGAGAAGGAGTGGGAAGGCTTTGATTATTCGTAAGAAACCTCTCTTATGCAGTTTGCACGCCGCTGATCTTAACCAGATACGATATTAACTATTGGTGCGCTCTCTCTTTCGCTTGCAACAGAAAATTGAGTTCTGACCGAAACATATAGGTACAACGTAGCTTGGGGCTCACCTCTAGGTAGGGCAGAAGGAATTGGCTATGTGCAAGAGCTCGTGTCTCGTCTCACTCAGACGCCGATTGAAACCCACAATACTTCTACTAATGCGACACTTCATAACGCTGTCACTTTCCCCCTTGGAGACAGCCTTTATGTGGATGCGACGCATGAAACTGTAGTATTGAATGGTTAGCTCGTCGATGAACTTGAAGTTGGCAAACGTCCTGATTTTCATTCATTGACAGTCCTTACTGCATTGAATATTTCGAGCTTTGCGGCGATGGGACAATTGCCGACTGATCATATACCAAAACGGCGCACGTTTAGGTCAACAGAGCTTGCTCCATTTGCAACCAATGTACAGTTCCAGCGTGAGTGATCCCGCGATCGTTCCAAACCGTACTCATTTTGTTTCGTCCTCTCAGTCTTGTCATGTTCCACGGAGCCCGACCCACAAATTCGTGTGATCGTTAATGATGGTGTTGTGCCGCTGGCGAATCTGAATGGGTGTCAAGATCATCCAGACGGGATGTGTTCGATTCATGCTTTTGTTGACGCGCAGAAAGAGAACATTCGGAGTACGGACTGGAACTTCGTTTGTAACGCCAACTGGACAATCCCTGATGGATGGGAAACTACCACGGGCTATCCTGTTTAGATTCATCGCCCAGTGTGCATACATTCTGGTGATATGAATAGTAATTCGCCAAAGAGCGATACCGTGAATCTCATCATGCATTACACATCAAACGTTCGCGAGAGGCCTCAAAAAATCCTTGTGCAAAACACACGATGACACAACAGATGCACCCCATCATCTGCACGCTCTTAATCTACAATTACCAAGATAAGACCTCATCGTCGCAATAGGTCAGTTCCGCAAAAATGCAACCTGAGTATACGTTCTTTCAGGAACATCGCGTAGTTTATGCAATACCTCTTGTGATTCAGAGGCTAGCGCGCATCAACACAAACGCAAACGTCATGGCAGGAAATACATTGGTGAAACATGTACCGGAAAATGACTTGATGAACTATGCGGATTCCCAGAAGCTGAGTCACATCCCGTGGGCCGTGGGGGCAATATTCTCAAATGTTTGTAATGTGGGTAGTGATCTCATTGTATAAAAACGAATATAAGCTGGGAACTGTCGACAGACGAAATGAAGTAGCAGTTTAAGTGTGGACTCATCTGTCTGGACAAAACCAAAACTCTCGAAAATCGTCTCCACGAAACGGCTGCGTGTTTTGAGAGTCATGAAACAAGGGGGTATTCTATAACTGTTGGCCCTCAAACAATTGGGTACAAGCCAATCGCAGTCGGGAAATGATTGATATGTATCATTTGTATATACTGATGACTTCAGATGATATACGAACATTACTTATACATCAGCCACTGAAACAGAGATATCTGCATCATGTTGTTCCTTCTTCTCCGACATCGAATCCTCATCTCTGATAGTCAGTGTAAAGTTGGATATGGGTCCAGTGTACCAATGTACGCCTCCGTACACCGGACAATAATACCAGGAAATCGCCAGAAACATGAACCCTCCAAGTACCACAGCTGTATAGTTTATTTGTTGTGTCGTCGTTTGCGGGGTCGCGGGAAAGCAGAAAACAACGATCATGAAGACCATCCACACCACAGCGATCGCAGCGACTGGAAAGCTCTGCACAGATATATTAGTTCAAGCATACATCGCTGCCTGTTGACCCACCAGTTTCCCCAGATGAAATGGACCGGGTTTAAAATCATTCTTGAACGCAAAGCGGGTTGTGATCGGCGTTATGAAAGCGATATACGATGCGTTGACAGAAATTGTGAACACCGCATTGATGGCTTCGATACTCACGAACGACAAAAGACCAATCGCCAGAGCGCAGATGCTGTCGAACCAAACTGTATTGACGGGTGTTCCTGTGTAGCAATTGATCCGGTATAAATACCGTGAAAAAGGGAGGGCGCCATCACGAGCAAATGCAAACGTTTGGCGAGAGCCAACCAGGAGGCAGTTCGATGCCACCATGTACCTGCTCTATGATTAAGCTGTGAATACGTCACAAGGCACTAAAACGTACCCTGTTGAAATGATGAGACACCATAGAGCCAGGGCCTTTTTCTGCCCGAGCGAATTGTATAAGATCTGGGCCATAGGCTGCCCTATAGGGCTACTTAAGAGGCTACCAACATCAGTGCCCATGCAAAAGGCAAGGCAGACGTTGATTCCTGTATTGGAATATGCCATCAAGATCAGAGTGACATGTCATTCCACATACCCCAACCAAAGACGGCCGATACAGCAATGGAACTGACCTGACTGGAATAAATACAGCAATTGGTCATTTCTAGTGTCACTTACAATTGCCCATGGTATCGCAGTAGCGGCATTTGAAGCCTCCTCGCTCATATGAACGCTAGCATCATAACCCCCTGGTGGGTGAAAGATAGTCATGGAGCGATAATTCGAGAGAATATGGTCTAACCTATTGTATAAAGAGGGGCCATTAAGCTCAAAATAAACGTGAATCCGGATGGCCAGCCGGCCACTACAACTGATCGTGAGCTGTGAGCATAATTTGATAATGATACATACAATTGGTGAAATCCCCTAGCGCAAAATTTGCGCTGTTTTGGTAATCTGGTGGCGTTGCGATCGGAAGCGCAATGATGATTATGATGCAAAGGCTATCGGAGAAGTTGAAACGATGATCATGTACGAACTCTACAACACCTACCTCGCACTCAATAACGTGTATAGTCTCTGTAGCCTTGCCAAAACTTTGGTACCGAAGCTCACGAGGACAGCATGTGACAAAACCAAAGCTGCGTATATACCGCTGTAACAACCAATATGAAGAGTGTCGTGTCTGTATGGGAATGAGCTTACTAGAGTTGCTGGTTGGTAGTCGTATATGCCTGGTCAGAGGAGGCAATACTGATTGCTGCAGTAATTTGAATTGCACAGGCCCAGTTTACGGAAGCTAGCCCCATGTGATCAGGGCTGTTGAAAAAATGGAACCCGTCTCACCAACTCCCGTGATAATCTCTACGGTATTTGAATCTGCACATGTTAGGACTGGTTGCATTTCACATCAAAATGCAGGACTTACAGCCGACTATCCAAGAAAGAAAATTACGGCATCGTGGAGAAGCAAGCAAGTAAGTCCAATAGTATAGCTACATTTTGTTTCAAAGTCAAGTTTGAAACAGCAACAGCATCGACGACGTACACCGCCAGAAGTAGGTGCTGCTGATGCGAGCTCTGCCATCGCCAACCCGATGCACATAATAAAGGGACAAGCAACTGCCCACTGCGGAGAGGAAAAGTGAGATGTTTACGGACCAGCAATCCTCACGTGTGATGAAAGCTTACACCCCAAACCATCGCGAAAGGCCCACCATTTGGGATGGCATAAAAGAGTACGGAGCTGAACAAAATTTAATCATTAATGGTACGAAATTGGCTTGCGTCATAGTGACGGCTTACGCTATTGAAGGAGCCACTCCGATATAGCTGAATGCAAGTCCAGATACCTGCAGTTGTTAGGGGCCTGTGTCGCGTATACGGAAGAGTCTGCAATCAAACTCACCTCTAGCGGAGTGAATTCCCTCTGAAACTCCTGCTTGTATCCTAGCTTGTCGAGAGTTGTCTCATCTGCACTTGGTTGCGGGTGCAACTTCGAAATCGCTGAAGCTCTCGGAGCCGCCATGTCGTACTCTTGCAAGTAGGCGATTTCGAATGAGCACTGACCCACTGATCACGCCGTATCGAAAGAGACGAGTTGTCAATTGGGAATCACCTTCAGTATCCACATTAGGTGAACGTGGCGACCGAGAAGCCCTGACGCATATGTACATGTGGATTCTAGTCTGCGAACCAGACCGAAATTGAACCAAACCAAGAGATGTTTATCTCGACTTACGGTCCGGACTGCATCGGACGCCTAGCCTATCTGAATCTGATGTGCGTGGTCAACCCGGGTCGAACAATCAGACGGTCGGCATCTGGACATAAGCTTCATGCGGAACAGGTGTAATGCAGGTAACAGTATCCCGTCCTCGCGTCACGGTAGCTTTCGGAGACGATTGTGGCCGCGTTTCAGCACCATAGGACCAAACAGTAGTCCTTTCTGGCTCTGAGACATGGTGAATGGTTTCAAGTTTTGGCAGTGAACGTTTGAGTGGACATGTCAAAATCATGTGGATGCGGCTCAGAAGGCTCGGCCCAACTTGAAGGATATTTACGGAAACTGATGTGGCTGTGCTATACCGCATAACTTATCTCACCTAGTAATGCAAGCTTCCTTGACTGTGAAAATGATGTCCGTCACTCGACACGCAAAAAATCTCTCGGGTTTGGACAGAAGCTTTGGGGGAGCTATATCAAGGGGTTATGCGACAGTAACCAAGTTCCCGCGACCCCCTCCTCCTACCGAAGAACCTCATGTTGAAACGTTCTCTGCGCCTTCGAAACCAAGGCTATATTACACTAGACCTCCTCTTAAGGCTGACCTTCCTCACGTTCAGGTTTGCGCTTTGCGTCTACGTGCACGCATTCCACTTATTCGACAATACAGAAACGTTGGCCGTTCATTCTTGCATTCGCCACCCTCGGGGTTTCCGCTTGGGCTGCATTTTTACTCTTCGCGACGAACCAAGAGAAACTATCGAGCTCTGTTGTAAAGCATATTATGCAGACGGTTAGGGATAATGAAGAACTGAAGGATATGCTGGGAGATGCAATCCGACCTGAACCTGCCTGGTATTTGAATGGCGACCCTTGGATAAATGGCTCGGTAAGTACAGTCGGTTGTCGAAGCATTCACTTCATCTCAATGTTTTTGCTTAGATTAACCTTCCACAAGGCAATGTGGACCTAAGTTTCCGTCTAAAGGGTCACCAGGGCTCCGGTACTCTCTATTTTACTAGCATTCGGAAAGGCAAAGGACAGCCGTTCACTCCACGTGAGTTCCTATGTGATTCCCTTTCAGATCTCTGACGTTTAGTATGGCTCTAATTAGTGAGGTTCCGCGTCATCGGGGATGATAAGAAGGTTGTGAATTTATTCCCCCATACTTCAAGTTCGACCATCAGTGCCGAGTGTTCGTAACACTTGTCGTTCCCCGACGTGGGTTATTTGAACTACATCCTCAAGAAAGTTTGGCTACGTTTCTTGCAGCGTACGTCGGTGGTATAGAATCACCGTCTTTCATTGCAGAACATACAAGTAATCATTAGCCTTGCTGGGGGTCCCCTAAGACGCCCTTAATACAACCTCAATAACAACGTGTCATTCAAAAGCGTTAGCTGGCATATGCATCTCGACTTTTACCTGAACTCGAGGTGTCAAATATCCATCTCACCCGAGGGATTCTCTTGAAGGCCTGTCAAACATTATGATTTTCCATTTGACTGTCGTACCTGCTGTTCATAGTGGTTACGATAACAGACTGCACTTTGAGTTTATTACCTTACACATCGTCCCTCCGAAGGTCGTCAGTCTCTCCCGAACATCTTGAAAATGTTTCCGCTCCCTCGCCTCGAACTTGTTGTTCTCATAGTACTCTTCTGTGGAAGTGCCGACAACAGTTTCCTTCCACATTAAATCATGTAATGGGACGATTATGATACCCTTGGACTGACGTGAACCCAACAGTCTTTCTGGCGTAGCCGCCGCGTCAGTGATCGGCTGTAGTCCCACACAAGGACCGAGAATTGTCATGCTACCAATTCATGGGAACCAGGAGCATATTCTCGGTGTCAGGCCCATCTGGGGACGTTAGACATCTGTAAGACTGCGATATACATGTTCTATGCGATATAAGTACAGGTTTTATAATCTATTTGCGTTGTACGGAAGTGACTATCATTGTTACGTAGCATAATCCCATTTGCCGACGTATACTAGCTGGAATTTTATGAGGGCTATCCTTGATGGACTCTCAAGTAAAAGCTTGCGCTTGGACGTTATATAAATGAGCATACTCTCCCTCATGGTTCAACAGTTCCTGGTGCGTTCCCATCTCAATCACACTTCCTCCCTTCATACACCTACATTCGTCATTCGCATCAGAATGGAAGTCGATGATCAAAAAGGGATACGCACAAGATGAGATCGGCAAACTTGGTGAGATGCGCAAAACGGTGCGTGACGAATATCATGGTTCTTCCTTTGCGCGCCTCCCTGAGCTGCTTGAATAATTCGTATTCGCCTCCTGGGTCAAGAGCAGAGCTAGGCTCGTCGACTATCACAAACTTGATGTCCTCGGACAGCATACGCATAAACGTCCGGGAGCTACGCGAGTTAATTAAACGTCAATGACGCAGGATGAGTAGACTCACGCAACCAGTCTTTGTTTCTCTCCACCTAAGCGTTATTAGTACACGCACCATCCTAGCGAATGAGACGTACCAGACACGTTTATTGTCTTCTCCATCTTCTCGTACTCCTTTTTTAGGTCCTCGTTCCCCCTCCCTGTATAGCTAAGATGGGCAGTCTTGACAGGTTCGAGTACAGTGTCATATCCGTCGGTGAAGTTCTTGATAACGTCCTGAGCACCAGCTAACTTCGCTGCTTGAGCAATCTTGTCGAGATTTGTTACAGATGACGGTGACCCGATCCCGATGTTCTCGCTCATAGAGAGGGGGAATAAGGTGTGCTCCTGCGTTAGACTAGCTGTCACAGACCGCAAATCTGCAATTCGATAATCTTGGATGGGATTTCCATCGATTAAGACAGTGCCTGAGGTAGTGTCGTAGTAGCGGGTCAGGAGCTTGAGTATGGTCGATTTTCCTGAGCCGTTTGCGCCGACGATGACCACCAATTGACCTGCTTTTATCGAAAAAGAAACATCCTTCAATGCATCTCTTTCAGATTTGGCGCCCGGATAGTTAAACGATACGTTTCTGTGGATGAAAACATGAAGAAGAGCGACCGCACAAAACCCGAGATTCGTACCGAACTTCTAACGAGAGACCCAAAGAACCAGCTGCCGGTGAATACGACATACAACCGTCTTTCATCTTGCTCTTAAGATCGAGAAGTCTGTAGAAATTATTCAAGCGGGCCAATTCAATCGGATAAATGGTGATTATGTGCTTAGCGAAACTAAACGTGTATCGAAGACGTGTGGCAGTTTGTTCTAGCATAGCTAGCTGAACAACAGATACCTGACTTGGATTCATGAGAGCCAACAGTCCAATGTAGAGCTGGCAATGCATCAGAAACGCAGGCGTATAAAATTGCATAAACTCACCATGGGTCCGTCATTGCAGAGGTTCGAGAACATACTAGGCAGAGCAGTCGTTGATCTTCTCCACAGATCCTCGACGTCCCCGTTAGGTATGTGACAAAGTGCATCGTGCACCTTCTGATACTCTAAGAGTTATGTGAGTGATTTTGAAACTCAAAGATACTCAACACACGACCATTTAAAAGATAACCTGATAAATTACCTCCCATCACCTCAGCTTTGTATGTATGTTTTGCAAGTGAGGTCAAGGCCTGTTGCCGAAGGTAGTCGTCATTGACTGCCTGTTTCACGTAAGCTACGAATGTCAGGTCGATCAAATAAAATAAACAGGAGCACAAACCTTTTCCCCAGGATTTATTGCCCCACATATTGTCCAATATCATGGGCAAAAAACATATTACGATCGAGGCAAATCCAGCACTCGCAAATTCGGAGCCTAGGAGATGCAGCAATAATCGCAATTGGAGTAGAGACGAAATAATCTGCTTTCCAAGGTCGAGTAATCGTAAAAGGGAGTTAAACACTTGGCTAGGGTTGACTGTAAGACCCGCCTCATTATCTTTTACATACCCGACTTGAGCTCGTCATCCTATAAATCATATGACCGGCACCAACCTTGGGACGCCTCGATGTCACGCGCGAGATTTGCTGACAAGGCATTTCAGTAGCGTTGAGATGAAAATTGAGGTGCGGATACCTCGCAACAACCACTCTTGAAATCGGTAACAGACGAGCACGCGGTATTGATCCCTTACACCATTGCTATTGTTACCTCCGATTAACGTAATTGAGCCAAATTGGAGAGAATCTTACGAAGTCCACTGCACAAATCCGCTGAACGCGGAGCATGAAGCTCGAGCGATGATGGCTATACATAGATCTTTGTCCAGGCTCGTGTGAATCTTGCCTTCCAAAACAGACTGTTGGATCTTCGGGAACAGTGAATATATGTGAGTCACAAGTCAAGAAGAATTCACCCACAAGAAGTAAAAGGCGGTTTGAGAAATAGAGGGACAGTGAGTCCTCGATCGCGTACCAGAGATTCGTAACCATCAGGAGCCAAAACAACTTTGGACTGACAGAGTAAACATCCTTGTATGCGCGAGTCAAGAGGGGGATGTATGTCGATACAGGACCCCATTGAAGATTGGGGAGCCTGAATGATGATGATTCGTCAGCGGCGATCAGTACGCGCCATACCCCAATCCTTCGTTCGAGAAACGGCGTTCTCTCTTTCTGCGTGCCAGTTCGAGGTAGGATACGTCGAGCCCAAGGGAAGTTGAGCATGATTGGAGAGAAAACACTGGCAGGATGAGATGCTATAGGATTGACATGGCTTTAATACTAGCTATTTCAATATTGGTGACTGGGTGGAGCCGATGAAAATACAGCAATTTTAACGCATGTCCAGTGGCGGAGTCTGACACGCAGTCCAAGAGCGCAGCTAGTTCTGTAAGATGAGTGATCATTTCTGATGTCGGAAGTGTTTAGTCACCAAGCCTACTAGTGAGGCGGGCTATCAGAGAACCTGTGAGAAGAAGACATCGTCATTAAACGTTATATGGAAAATGGTTTTCGTCGCATTGGAATATATATAAAGTGATATATGACTATGTAAAAGCAGTGAGCACCATAATCAGCATAATCCCCAGCAAGAACTCACCGGTTTACTGATACGCCACCCACCTGTGACTCCTACCATGTAACCCTTGTAATTAGACGTGGATATTGGTCGCCAGGGTCCCTCTAAGTACAGCTGCAATGTGATGCATAATTGTTGGGTATTTATCGTGGGTACTTAGCAAAAATCAGCAGGGCAACCTCGGCAACGTTCCGGCATGCTATTAATATCGTGCCCTGACATTTTTGGCCGTTCGGCAAGTCCCATAAACCTTGTCTCCTCGCATTTCAAGCGTTCCTTTCACCGTTTCGCATCGGATCTTTTTGCAGACGATCATAGTAAGCATACTCTACATAATCCTATCGAAATATATGTCATAAGTATCTTGAATACCCTTCTAAGGACCATATGCTTCTCATCACCCTTCAATTTCAAGCCCTACCGAGACATCAAGCGAGTATCATACCTGTCCAACTTTCAGGCTCAAGTCTTGTGTCTCATGGCCGCTCACCTTACGGCTCGCTGTAGAGTAGTGTAAAGTATCTGCATGTCTATGGTGCGTCTTGAAAGCTTGATTGTTAATCCCCGTCAGGAAGGGAATGTGACCAGTACTGTGCACCAAGAAGATGAAGCTTTTCCTGGCCAAGACCCGGACATCGTACCTGATGAATATCTCGACGCTACTCAACTGGACCCTGATACGCAACGGCAACAGCAACCACACCAGCAAGCAGTAGCAGTACATACAAACCCTGGCGAACATGGAAGCGGAAAGTCCTGTGTCTGCTGCTAGCACGTTTCGATGTCCCTCGGACATTTTGGTTTTACTATCACTTGTATTGTAACATGTACGTGGACAGCTCTTATTTTATCGATAGGCAATGACTATCTTTTAGATTTTTTACAACGAACAGATTTATACAATCAAACCTCCTGTAGCTGGATGAGTTCATCCAGCAGCCATCACCTTGTCAACTGCTCTGAAGTCTGGGCGTCACAGGTCCAGATACTCGGCCACTAAAACCTTCCGTCAACCTATGTAAAGCGATTTTGCTTGATTATTGTATATGGAATTTGATCATGGTCGTCGAAGATGGGTTGTTGCGCCGTACCTGTTAGCTGGATGAATATATGCGTTTAGAGGGAAAATATCAAAACGAAATCTAAGCTGGCGGAACCTATATTGAGATGCACACTACTTGTGTCTGTAGCCCCCGCATCAGCGATCGGCTCACAAGGACTAATAATTGTCGTGCTACCAATTTACAGTGGGGATCGAGAACATATTCTTGGTGCCCGCATTCGAGGACCGTCAGACATGCGTGGGACTGCGATATACATGTTCTATGCGACATAAGTACAGGTTTTATAATCTATTTGCGTTGTACGGAAGTGACTATCATTGTTACGTAGCATAATCCCATTTGCCGACGTATACTAGCTAATTCTATGACGGCCATCCTTGATGGTTCGGTAAGTCTCAAGTAAAAGCTTGCGCTTGGACATTATATAGATGAGCATACTCTCCCTCATGGTTCAACAGTTCCTGATGCGTTCCCATCTCAATCACACTTCCTCCCTTCATACACCTAGATTCGTCATTCACATCAGAATGCGAGTCGATGATCAAAAAGGGATACGCACAAGATGAGATCAGCAAACTTGGTGAGATGCGCAAAACGGTGCGTGACGAATATCATGGTTCTTCCTTTGCGCGCCTCCCTGAGCTGCTTGAATAATTCGTATTCGCCTCCTGGGTCAAGAGCAGAGCTAGGCTCGTCGACTATCACAAACTTGATGTCCTCGGACAGCATACGCATAAACGTCCGGGAGCTACGCGAGTTAATTAAACGTCAATGACGCAGGATGAGTAGACTCACGCAACCAGTCTTTGTTTCTCTCCACCTAAGCGTTATTAGTACACGCACCATCCTAGCGAATGAGACGTACCAGACACGTTTATTGTCTTCTCCATCTTCTCGTACTCCTTTTTTAGGTCCTCGTTCCCCCTCCCTGTATAGCTAAGATGGGCAGTCTTGACAGGTTCGAGTACAGTGTCATATCCGTCGGTGAAGTTCTTGATAACGTCCTGAGCACCAGCTAACTTCGCTGCTTGAGCAATCTTGTCGAGATTTGTTACAGACGATGGTGACCCGATCCCGATGTTCTCGCTCATAGAGAGGGGGAATAAGGTGTGCTCCTGCGTTAGACTAGCTGTCACAGACCGCAAATCTGCAATTCGATAATCTTGGATGGGATTTCCATCGATCAAGACAGTGCCTGAGGTAGTGTCGTAGTAGCGAGTCAGGAGCTTGAGTATGGTCGATTTTCCTGAGCCGTTTGCGCCGACGATGACCACCAATTGACCTGCTTTTATCGAAAAAGAAACATCCTTCAATGCATCTCTTTCTGATTTGGCGCCCGGATAGTTAAACGATACATTTCTGTCGATTTGAAAATATGAAGAACAACAACCGCACAAAACTCGAGATTCGTACCGAACTTCTAACGAGAGACCCGAAGAATCAGCTGCCGGTGAATACGGCATACAGCCATCTTTCATCTTGTTCTTAAGATCGAGAAGTCTGTAGAAATTCTTCAAGCCGGCCAATTCAGTCGGATAAAGGCTAATGATGTGCTTGGCGAAAGAAAATGTGTATCGAAGACGTGTGGCAGCTTGTTCTAGCATAGCTAGTTGAACGACAGATACCTGACTTGGATTCATGAGAGCCAACAGCCCGATATAGAGCTGGCAATGCATCAGAAACATAGGTGTATAAAATTGCATAAACCTACCATGGGTCCGTCATTGCAGAGGTTCGAGAACATACTGGGCAGAGCGGTCGTTGGTCTTCTCCACAGATCCTCGACGTCCCCGTTAGGTATGTGACCAAGTGCATCGTGCACCTTCTGGTACTCTAAGAGTTATGTGAGTGATTTTGAAACTCAAAGATACTCAATACACGACCATTTAAAAGATAACCTGATAAGTTACCTCCCATCACCTCAGCTTTGTATGTATGTTTTGCAAGTGAGGTCAAGGCCTCTTGCCGCAAATAGTCGTCATTGACTGCCTGTTTCACGTAAGCTACGAATGTTAGGTCGATCAAATAAAATAAACAGGAGCACAAACCTTTGCTCCAGAGTTCATTGTCCCACATATTGTCCAATATCAGGGGCAAAAAACACATTACGATCGAGGCAAGTCCAGCACTCGCAAATTCGGAGCCTAGGAGATGCAGCAATAATCGCAATTGGAGTAGAAACGAAATAATCTCCTTTCCAAGATCGAGTAATCGTACAAGGCAGTAAAACACTTGCTTAGTGTTGACTGTAAGACCCGCCTCGTTATCTTTTACATACCCGACTTGAGCTCGTCATCCTACAAATCATATGACCAGCACCAACCTTGGGACGCCTCGATGTCACGCGCGAGATTTGCTAACAAGGCATTTCAGTAGCGTTGAGATGAAGATCAAGGTGCGGATACCTCGCAGTAACCACTCTTGAAATCGGTAACAGACGAGCATGCGGTATTGATCCTTTACACCATTGCTATTGTTACCTCCGATTAACGTAATTCAGCTATTTGATAAAATCTTACGAAGTCCACTGCACAAATCCGCTGAACGCGGAGCATGAAGCTCGAGCGATGATGGCTATACATAGATCTTTGTCGAGACTCGTGTGAATCTTGCCTTCCAAAACAGAACGTTGAATCTTCGGGAACAGTGAATATATGTGAGTCATAAGTCAAGAAGAATTCACTCACGAGAAGTAAAAGGCGGTTTGAGAAATAGAGGGACAGTGGGTCCTCAATCGCACACCACAGATTTGTAACCATCAGGAGCCAAAACAATTTTGGACTGATAGAGTGAAAATCCTTGTATGCGCGAGTCAAGAGGGGGACGTGTGTCGATACAAGACCCCATTGAAGATTGGGGAGCCTGAATGATGATGATTCGTCCGAAGCGGCGATCAGTATGCGCCATACCCCAAGCCTTCGTTCGAGAAACGGTGTTCTCTCTTTCTGCGTGCCAGTTCGAGGTAGGATACGTCGAGCCCAAGGGAAGTTGAGCATGATTCGATGGAAACCACTGGCAAGATGAGATGCTTCAGGATTAAGATAGCATGGCTTTAATACTAGCTATTAGTATATCAGGCGGACGGCCCGTGACAGGGTGGATCCGATGAAAATACAGCAATTTTAACGCATGTCCAGTGGCGTCTCATGCAGTCCAAGAGCGCTTGACGCTTAGGCTCTGTAAGATCTGACAGGTATCTCTCGTGAACCTGTCGGAAGTGTTCAGTCACCGAGCCTAGTAGTCACCGATTGAGATCAAGGCGAGACGTACGTTGTTCATCATCAATCTCCATGCAAAACTCAACTTTGAACAGGTCCAGTGTTATGTAATACAAGCTTTATCATCGGAATGACTATGTCTACTGCGATCCGGGTCCCGCAGACAAGTGCTATTAATCCTACACAGCAAGTATATGTACCGACAATCTGGCCACCTGCCAAAAGCCAAACATTTTGGGCTGAGTATCAAAGTCGCCTTTTTCCGAAAGCGCCACTGAAGTAGGTTGTTGACTCGGTCATATTCTAGAAATCCCTAGAATAGGCAGAACCAGCCCAATCACGTAAAACACGCCATCAACATCTCACGCTCATCCAAGGACTGCATGTCGAACACAGATTTCACCACAGGACCTCGCAGGATTAGTACAAGCACGCGCTCCATACGTCGGATTCATCATCCCCACCTGCCACGCTTAGGCTGCCTCGGTCACATCCACATCGATCGACGTGCTGCTCGTCTGAACATACCATTGCAGAGTTCAGCACACTGAGGGTGACATGTTCAGATGATAGGTTCTAGAAGTGTCTCCCGTGGGTGCTGGCAGTCGTACGAAGTTACATGATATGGAACCTGTAGTCTTGAAGCGTTGTAAGACGGATCCGTGCGTTTTTCGGAGGGGAACAAGGTATATACCAGGAGGAATATTTTCCCAACGTTGCCGTGTCTCAGTGAATGATTGCTGGCCAAGTGATGGCATACCCAGTGTCTCCTGGTACTAGGGAATACTATCCTGCATTTAAACATATGCAAAAGGCCGTGACATAGGATAACTCGGCGATGTGGCTGGATAACGCATACACGTGCATCAGAAAAAGGAACAATCAGTAAACACGTACCCTCTTCAGCGATTGACTCGAGCGCCTCGAGGCGCGCATGATCTGGAAATCAAGATTCGAAGATACTAGTAGTACTAGGACCGATCGGTGACATGTACACTAACGATTAGAACGGCAGGGCGCAATCGTATAGACGTGCAAGAGATTTAAATGATGTTGTACTGTGATGAAATGCAAGGGACGTAAATTGAAAAAAAAATGTACGAGATGATAGATCGAGGGGCCGGATCACGGATACGCATGAAAGATAGAACCCGGTCTTTTGCCTAAAGTACGTTTTCATAATCTTGATAACCGTAGTGCCGATACCCACGCCTAGAGCCATGATAATCTACAGCAAGTGATGGTTAGTGGGAATTAATCAGACGAGATAGGCGCCGATGATCAAAAGGATAAGAGGGATCGTGAAAGAGATCAAAAATGGACGCACAGGAGCTGGTATCGCGCTCTTGACTCAAACCCGCAACAGTACCAAGGTTAATATATCCCTCTGACACTGACGCCTTTCCCTTCCCGGAGACCTGCCCACCCGTGCTAACGTTGACCCATGGGGAACGGCAGAAGACACAAGTAATGTTGCGTCCACAGGATTTAGCCCCTACGTCAATGCATCAGTCCCATATTTCAATAGTAGCAAGTATATGACGTGTACATTGTGTGAAGCACTCCTTGTGCACAGCATTCGCACAAGTCTCGCACCAGATGAGGGTATTCTCATCTGCGCCGTGCATGCTCTCGTAGCAGATGGGACAGTCGTCCTCTGGGCAAGGCGCACGGCGCTTTTTCACAGGCTCAGACTCTTCAGAGGGGGTAGTAGTAGTAGCCTTGCCAGTTGCGCGTGCATATGCGTCCCGAACACGTTGATTAGTAACAGAGTTGGGTGCTGGAGGCGCATGCGCGAATATTTCTTGAAGTTCGGAGGTAAGAAGTGCCCTATAGGGTGATAATTGAGTAATGAAAGCTGTATCGACATGAAGTACTGACTTTTGGTACCACAGGCCGGAGCTCTGGCTGACTTGGAGGACTATAGCGGAAGTTCAGTTGTTTGCAGGGGGAGTGGTGGAAATAGAACTGCGATCACCTTTCAAAAAGATGAACAACTTAACGTAAGATTAGAAATGGAGGTGATACGAAGTAAGAGCGGCTTTACTATGTGCTTGCAGTGATTACCCTTGTTGGCATCTGGACCTGTCAAACGCCGAAAGTCAGGGGCTAATTGAAAGCGAAAGAAAACGCGACATGCAGTTGCAGGATGGTGTTTTATCGATGACAACAGTATACACCTATGTTGATGTAAGCGTGTTAAGCGACCAAATAGAAGAGCACTCACATTCCCTGTGGAGCCTAACACGCTAAACTCCTCACGTAGCTCATCGCCGGTACGCTTTCGGTCGACCATGAAAAATCTTGGTCGTGATCGATGACATGTTCTACCGAATACAGGAGAAATACGTTACCTTTGGGACATGACCCTATCTACGCGATCAAGAATATTCTGCGGACACTTTTTCTTGAACATTGCACCGCGTTTCTCTGGCGCAGGCTCATTAGGGTCTTTCTTCTTCCTTTGTTTCTTGACGGGAGGTGGTAGGGCCTCTTGAACTGGGGGCTGAGGTTCCACGTGAGGGTGCGTGGATTGGGGATACGGGTAGCTGTAGTTGTATGAAGAATATGGAACTGATGGCATCGTCATCACAGAAGTAGTAGGGGGGGTGTATGAATAGCTATAAGGAGCCTTGCTGTCGAAGGTAGAACTATAAGACATTAGATTTGGATCGGGGCCTTTGGTGGTAGTGTTGACCCTGAAAGTAGTGGAAGATGACGCGGGAATGCATGCTGGGGCTGTCCTCTTGTACATTGGGTCAGGCCCACTAAGATCAGCATAATCCCAGTCTTCAGATTCGCGCCGTCGTTTTTTCGCATTTGTCGGCATGTTGGATGTAGAAGCTGGAGGAAAGGAGAGGATGATCTTATGGACGAGCGCAGGGCGAGCGCAGTCTCAAAAACTTGGGCAGCTGATACTGTTGGGGTGAAACTAGTATAAAAGCGGGATCACCTCGTCGGGGTGTGAACCAAGCATGCACAAATAAAAGCGGCTACCATCACTTACTGCAGATCTTGTTCAAGTCACTGTTGGTGGCGCGGCCGTATCAAGTTGATCCAAGTACTACATAGGTGGTCGTTGTTACCGCCTTCCATATCTTCATGTCCAAGCTCTTAGCTGGTGTGCATCCCTTTCCCTGGAACTTTGACTCAAACGCGTTTATGTAAATTCTGGTATGCTCCAAATCATTGACGTACTAGTGGTCATGGTATGCCTTCAGTCAGGAAATTTTATTATTTTCAACGCCCGAAGGCCGAAATGAGTATTTCCACTGGACGCCGCTCTCACCGCAACTTGACGGCATGTTTCTGGATGTGTTCAATATCGTTCGTCTCCAACTTCCGTCAGAAACACTGGTACAACATTTGTCCGACAGATCAACCAATCACGCTGGCGCAATGCATCAATTTCGAATCTTCAAGTTCGTCACTGAGCGCTTCTTCAACCGTAAGAAACCAACAAGAGTCACCTGTCCTGGACGCTTTCGCTTGGACGCATGGGTAACCGCAGGCCTTCCATGAGGTTTGGTGTGGAAATTCGATATGGGCGCTTGCACGGGCACGTTCCTGATACGAATCACCCTGCATAGCCATGTCACATTTCCAATCACATTTTGGATACCAGAGTGACGTCGCAAGCGTGCTGCTACCTCGTCACCTTGGAGTATACAGCCAACCTGTTGATCTACTTGATCATCTCCTACGATCCTTGAAATTATAGGACACTCGAAATCCTCATGACATAACATAACATGCTATTAATAGTTCAGGCTGTCAAACAATAACGGGTGCTTCCAACCACAGGTTACATACATAATAATCCTCATCGCAGACATGTAGACGCCAGTCGATCCTATTCACTACCACCACGCCTCCTACTTCCATTGCACCAAAACACGCACGTCCGCCTATCTTTCCCACTTACTAGATGGATGAAAACAATCCTCCTCGCAAGAAACGCTGGGGGCGACCGAAGCCAATTCATTCAAACCCTCATTTGGTACAGGAGAGAGGCAGAACGAGAGTCAGTCACGATGTATGAACTGTCATCTTAGCATTTACATCATATCTAACTGTTACAGCCGTCATCTCTCTCGCCTTCGAGGAATGGGTCTCATGAAAGACGTTCAGGGTCAGTTTTCAAACTCTTTGGCAAGGTGGCCGAGCGCTTTGCTCGAAGCGCTCGACAAACCCTAAACCCGAAACACACGGCTGCAAGTTCCAGCTTACAGGACACCCAACCTGTTCAGTCAACTGACGTAAGCGTAGTCTAAACTCTGAATGTGTCCCGTGTGCTATGATTGGTACTGATCGCTTCTGCAGGATCTCACCCCTCCCACTCTCGAACCAAATTTTGGGCAACCTCCTAATTCAGGGATCGTAGAAGGAAGTTCTACTAACGAAGTTCGGAATATTCTCATTCATCTCTTTCGACAATGTGCTGACGTCTATACTTAGGCCGAACATCTCGACCCGAAGGTTGTGCACGATAAAATCGCCAATGCTGACAAAAGTCTCGCAGAAGCCGGCCACGTCCCAACAATACTCCAACATGCTTCTTCTGCGACCAACGACCTACCATCTGTTTCTGATGCGATCGATACGTTCTCCGTGTTGCTCAAACCCTTGAAGACATTCAACTCCATCGCCAACGCGATTGCAGATGTGCAAACCATTTATTTCTCTTCTGTACGTGACTAACATTCGTGCGCAGGTCCATCCCTACGCGAAGGTGGCACTGAGCATCTTCACTTGCGCATCCAAGGTAGGCCTCTTTCTCAATCACCGCCGTTGCAGGTTGACAAAGTCTCTGTAATAGATGATTCTCGATCAGGCACACCGTGATGTCGCTGTTCGCCTTCTGCTCTCAAAGATATCTGAAGTCTATACTTTCATCACGGAGAAGGAGGAATTGGCCAAGATTGAATCTATGCTATCGATATACGTGAAGATAGCACAGCAGACACTGGTGTGCGCTGATTTCATCAGCCATTATGCCGAGACGAAGAGTGCCTGTAAGTCGCTCCCACTGCTTCATTCGCCAAACTCAACGTTGCCTGTTCATATAGGGATAAGACTTGGCAAGCACGTTTTCGGCGAAACGGACACCACGATCCAGAACTACAACAATGTCCTCGACAATCTTATGCAGCAATTCCGAGACCGGGCGGTTCGTGATACCGTTGTGATCGTCCACCATATGGGTATGAATCAATTTTCAGGTCTCTTCCAGCCTCATCTGACATTCCACGATCCCTGGCATAGCTGAGGTTTTGGACCTTATAGGCATGGAGTACGCAACTGGCGCCGGATTGAATAGGTCTAAATGTTGTTTGCCAAATACTCGGCAAGACCTTTTGAAAGATATCAAGAACTGGATCAGCAGCACCGAGGAGGGTGCTCCACGGATCTTGTGGTTGTCTGGCACAGCAGGCAAGGGTAAATCGGCCGTCGCCCATACGATAGCCAACTGGTACATGGAATGCGGTCTTGGCTCATTCTTCTGCTTCGATCGTACTCGGCAAGCGGATCGCCGTCAGGATAAAATATTCAGGACCATCGCAAGCGATTTGGCGGGCCGCAACCCTATCGTGCGGCGAGCGTTGGCGCAGGCAGTTCGTGATGACGACGAACTCAAGCGGACTGCAGATATCACAAAACAATGGCAGGAACTCATTGTCGAACCGACAAACATAGCGTCAACCGCCATCGCTGCACCCGTGTGTTACAATAACATTTAACCAAGAACCCCTCCTACGGAGGTCATCATGACCTTAGCCCCTATCCCACCATATGCACCGTCTTGGAAGACTTACCGACTCAACGGAGACTCGTAGAGACGCCTAGAACAGCCTGGATGCTGTTAGATGAATAGAACACAGGAGAGAAGTCCGGAAGATGCCGGATTAGGTAAGCGGTCTGGACCGCTATGACGACATAGGTCTAGAAGACCTATTCCTGTTATCAAGATAGAAGGCAAGCCTCGTGCTGCCTCGTGTACTGATAGAAGCCTGCCTCATGGACGCTATCTCTGACTCAATAGATAAGCGAGATTAGAACTCAGCTTCAAGCTGAGCTTAGACACGATAGAGTAGCCTTATATAAGGTCGACGATTAAAGTAGATGTTCCTCACTTTAATCTACTAGGTTTTATCCAGAACTTCCTCTGAAAGACAGTCCCAGTCCTTCAGTCTAAGCCGCACCTTAAGGAAAGCCGACGCTACCTTAAGTGGAACCCCCGAACCTCTCATTCGAGAGAAGATCCCCGTCTCTCCAGTAGCAAGCCCGCTATCAGATTAGGCAATCCGCCTAAGGAGAGCTCGAACTATCCTAGTCCGTAACAAAAGATTAAAGTCTCACATTCCCGGCCCTGCTCATCACGCACCGCCGTTGAATCGATAACCGACCGCACCGCTGAGACAAGCGTAGACCTCTACTCTCGTGACCAAATCGCCGAGACCGGCGTAAAGCTATCCACAAATTGTCAAAACAGACGTACGAAGCTTTGAAACCTTAAAGCCCATCACTGTCCCTTCGCACCATTCCCTCTACCATGAACGCACCGACACAGATCATGATGATCAGAAGAAATACCAACGCCGCCGCCAACCTTTCAGGAATGGAAACAAGACACCACCTGAAGCAACGACGATGCTTTTCTTGCCATCACGTTGGACACAAAGCCAACGACCACAAGTGCCCGATGAGGAGAAAGATTATCGAAGAAGAAACAGTCCGCGAGACAGCGGCTGGTAAGGAGAAAACTGGACCGCTGATAGTTATTAACAAAAACAGCGTATCCAAGAAGAAGGAACTACGGGTTGCCGCCACCCTCATGTCCACCACTAAGCCGCCCATTACGACCACCATGGTCATAGATTCGGGCGCATGCGACTCATTTATAAGCAGGGAACTCTGCAAGAAATATCGCATTAGAACGCACCTCCTTCAGAAACCAAAAAGAATAATGAACGGAGACGGAACGAGAGGAGGCAACGTCAAAAGATTTTGCCGACTCATTATAAAGATCGACGACCGAGTAATGCACGGACGATTCCTCGTAATGCCGCGCTTAGACGACATCTTACTCGGATTCACATGGCTGGCCGCTGTGAAACCTTCCATAGACTGGAAGAAGGGTACGGTAACTATCCCTGCCACTGACAAGTCGAAAGGACTTGAGAAAACGATTGAGAGAGGTAGGAAGAGGAACGGGTTGAAGCCGCTCTTCCGTAGAGAAAGAAAGACGCGAAACACGCGCCAAAGAAGGGAGGTAGGCACCCTGATGAAGAAGAAAGAAGAACTCCGAGATGAGTATAAACTAGATCTGACAGAAACACCTGTCACGCAGAACCTCCGAAATGAGGCTAAACTACCAGAACCGGCTGATTCGCCGATGGAAGATCTCCGAAACGAGTCGAAACTAACCTCGGGAAAACGGACATTAACCCCGATCGAGGAACTCCACGAAATCCTCGAATACGCACCGGCTACCAAGCCGTTGGAACCCCACGCCTCGACATCCCAAAACGTTGAGAAGAAGTCCACGAGACAGTCGGACTTAGTTGCCACCTCACCACCCGCAGATAAATATAAATTTTCTGCAGTACCTGCCCAGATCTTAGGAAAAGGCAGAGCCACTTTCGACGAGGAACCCCCTCGTGCAAAAATCCTAAGACCGGCCCCTGAACCGGAGAAAACTCAGAAGTACATCTTTTCAGCAGAACCTGCCTCGGTTCTTGGAAAAGGAAGATCGGTAGTCACGGCAGAAGCACCGTCACCGAAGAGACTCCGCCAAGAGTATAAACTAGCAGAAAACGAACCGGCCGCTGATCAATGGATCAACCGGGCCGAGCCGATTGTTTCTTTCCCAGAACGATCGAAAACCGCACCAGTCACTCGCCCATTCCTCGTGCCCACGCAAGCCGATAAGGAAATGATGGATGACACTGACGATGAAGATAACGATAAGATAATCGTTAATATTGCCCCCGCGGCCCCTGCCATAGCAGAAGAACCCGCGATGACCCCGATGGAAGTAGATCGGATTAAACAACAAAACTACTTTCAGCGAACGATAAAGCGTATCGCAAGACACTGTCCCCGCCAGGACGACCCTGTGGATGTTAGATTATTCCAGGGAGAACTCGCACCAGTCACGGATCAGTCTGACCCTGACTGCGGAAACCTTGATTTAGACTTCTAGATTTGATCGGTGATCAAACGGCCTACTTGGGGGATGAAATTCTCATTTAAAAACTCATTTCATTCTCAATTTCCCTCACCCCGGCCACACCCTTATCTATAAATATCGACAATCACGAGTAGTCCGGCATGACTATAAACTGTGCAGTAGTCCGGCATGACTATAAACTGTGCAGTAGTCCGGCATGACTATAAACTGTGCATGAGTCCAGCACGACTATAAACTGCGTAGAAGTCCGAAATGACCTGAAACTATCCTCGGTCCGGAAAGACCTTAAACTATCCCAAGTCCATCATGACTCTAAACTAAGAATAGAAGGACGAACCCGGAGATACGGACCCCTTCACCTTGAAGACAAGAACCACCGAGAAACTCCTGCAAGCCCCGGATGCCTTACCTTCGCCACTGTCCGGAAAGACGCTAAACTATCACGAGACGAACTCCACGGAAACTCCTGCAAGCCCATGGAACCCTCTAGAAATGCCGACCGAGAAATTCAACAAAAAGAACATCTCGAAACGACATACCCCAGATCTTGACAGAATTCGACTAAAACGAAAAGTTAAGAAAACCCTAGCGTATCCCACGCATAGAACCTTCGATATCTGATGTGAACATCTAACAAAAGATAGAAGAAGAAGAACCTCCGGAACGAGGCTAAACTATCAAGAGACGAACTCCCCGGAAACTCCTACAAGCCCACGGAACCCTCGAGAACCCGACCCATCATGGCAATAATCAGCACCCTCTGATGAAGATTCCTGAACCTTGATAACCAACAAAGGATAAAGGAAAGAACGTACCTATCACGGCACATCCCCTCTGATAGCGACGAAAGATAACGAGAAGATCCTCTGCCTCATGGCATGATAAGATGATAAGACAAGATAACAACGAAGATAAGTTTAGATTGAATCGGAGCTTGGATTGATCTGGAAGAAGGTTATAAACCCTCTCGATCCCCGAACATCTCTCCATCGAACCTCCAATATATCATGACGAATCCCCTTGACGACAACTCTGTCCAGATCACACTAAAGGACTCCGACTACGGACGAATCCTTAGAACGATTGAGAATAGCGCATTCAACGAAACCGCTATCTTAACCCCCGCGTACTCCCAAGTGATCGACAACATCCTTGGTGAGAAAGACGCCAGACTTGCAGCAGGCACCTCCCTTGCCGTCTGCATTATAAGAACCACGAAGCTACTGGAAGACGTAGCCAATCGTGTTGACCTGGATGAAGAGACGAAGAAACTCGCCATCATTCATTTACAGAAACGGATTCGCGGCCTCGCGCTCCATCTACTCCCGCTTGACTTCCCCGACATCGCGAACCAAGCTGTTAAAATTGTAGAAACCAGAAAGGCCAAAGAAGAAGAAATCCGTCCGGTACGCCCGCCTAGAAAACGAAAGGCTACCATAGATCGTACCCGCATAACGCTATGCAAGCGATGCGGAGGATACGGACACAATTTTAGAAAGTGTCCAGACGCTGTGTGCTGCATCTGCAGCGAAATCGGACCCGACCACCTGTCGGTCCACTGCCCTCGACTCGGAGAAGTAGCATGTCTCCCAGAGTTTCGAGACGACGAGGAATACTACGAACTCCTCGTAGATTGGGAGAAGAACCACGTTGCGCTAGAAGAACTAATCGTGAACAACCCCGCGCCGCGCTCGCCCACTCCCATTAGCACCTGCAGTATTACTGCCAATCCAGACGAAGAAACCCGGGAGAGAGTTTTGTCGTAGTCGGTGACTTCGACCCAGAAACGGAGGTAATGTTACAATAACATTTAACCAAGAACCCCTCCTACGGAGGTCATCATGACCTTAGCCCCTATCCCACCATATGCACCGTCTTGGAAGACTTACCGACTCAACGGAGACTCGTAGAGACGCCTAGAACAGCCTGGATGCTGTTAGATGAATAGAACACAGGAGAGAAGTCCGGAAGATGCCGGATTAGGTAAGCGGTCTGGACCGCTATGACGACATAGGTCTAGAAGACCTATTCCTGTTATCAAGATAGAAGGCAAGCCTCGTGCTGCCTCGTGTACTGATAGAAGCCTGCCTCATGGACGCTATCTCTGACTCAATAGATAAGCGAGATTAGAACTCAGCTTCAAGCTGAGCTTAGACACGATAGAGTAGCCTTATATAAGGTCGACGATTAAAGTAGATGTTCCTCACTTTAATCTACTAGGTTTTATCCAGAACTTCCTCTGAAAGACAGTCCCAGTCCTTCAGTCTAAGCCGCACCTTAAGGAAAGCCGACGCTACCTTAAGTGGAACCCCCGAACCTCTCATTCGAGAGAAGATCCCCGTCTCTCCAGTAGCAAGCCCGCTATCAGATTAGGCAATCCGCCTAAGGAGAGCTCGAACTATCCTAGTCCGTAACACCGTGCTGATAGTCATTGATGCATTGGACGAGAGCGGCGAAGCTGATTCTGTTACAGTAACATTTAGCCCCTATACTCATTTCTTTTACCTTGCTTACAAACGGGCTGTCCGTATCATGCTTATCTCTTATCTTCACCAAGCGGGCTGTCCGCCTTATCCTTGATCCCTTATCTCTTATCATGCTTCTATCTTGATAACACATTTACAAGCTCCGCTTGAACATTCGTATATAAACCTAGCTACTTACGATTGTATTCCTTACTTTAATCTACTGGGTTTTACCTGGAACATTGTCCTTCAGTAAGGTCTCCAACCTTACTGTCTAAGAACCATTATTCTAAGGGAGTCAGCGACACTCGCCTTAGCCAGAACCTTTGATCTCTCAATCGAGAGCAGACTTACGTCTATCTGGCGTTCAGCCGATTGTCTATTCAAACAGAGATAGCTCGACTCATCCCAGTCGTAACAAAAGATTAAAGTCTTATCAACTGAACCGTTGCCATCCGCAACGACACCGACACCACGACTTCGTTAACTCCTTTGATCGGAGCCTTGAACTTAGGAGCCCTACCAAATATCCCTCCTTTGAACACCATGACGACCAAAACCAAAGATATAGAACTCAAGATCGGCTCCCCTCCTGAATTCGATGGAGACCGAGAAGAATCCAAGAGGTTCATGATGAAATGTCACGCGTACCTTGATATCAACGATCAGGTATATAACGAGGACAAGAAGAAGATCATCCTAGTATTGTCTTACATGACAAAAGGGAACACAGCGATATGGGCAGAAGACTTCATGGAAGCAGCCCTAGACCCCAAGAGGAAAGACACCTCTGGTCAAATAATCGGCTACGGAAACTGGGCCACCTTTAAAAAGGACTTCGACGAAGCCTTTAAACCCATGGACCCCGCCGGAACCGCTATGATGAAAATCCGAGAGTTGGAAATGAAAGGAGATCTCCACACCTACATCTCCAATTACAAACTCCTCGCACACAGGGCAGGGATGACTGAACAAGCCCCCCTGATCGAATTCTTCAGACAAGGTCTAGACTACGGGCTCCAAGAAAGCATGCACCGTACTGGTGAAAGCCTTGATGACTTCGACACCGTAGTCAATACCTGCATCAACCTCGATAACACTTTCCAAAGGATGAAGGCTATCAGAAGAAAAGAGAGACCCCACCAGCAGAAGAAAAAGAACTTCGGGAACAAACATTACGTTCCCAGAAGAAGCGACGATATGGAAGTCGATCGCATAAGCCGTCTGTCCGACGCAGAATTAAAGAAACATCTTAAAGAAGGGAGATGCTTCAAGTGTCACCAAGTAGGGCATCGCACCAACGATACCTCGTTCCACCCTAGGGAGAGGGACCAGATCCGAAGAAAACAAGAGGAAGAAAGCAGCAGCGACGACGAAGTCGAAAGTCGCGCTTCCTCCTCCAGAACTCCTATTAGGAGAAAGAAGGAGAAGAACGAAGAAGAAACCCCAAAAAGAAAAGCACCAATCCGAAGGAAAACTATGAAAGAGAAAGCGAAGGAAGTCGAAGAAGAAGAAGATAGCGACTTCACTGAAGTAGAACGCCGCTTCGTGGAAATGGATTTTTAGAAAGGAGAACTGCCTCGACGTCAGTAACTCCTATCCCTGTACGACTAATACGTTCTATCGGAACCAGAAATGAATTAAGAATTCCTGCATCCATTTTTTCCGATAAACGCGTACAAACCGTCGAAACATCCATGATCATCGACTCCGGAGCATCCGGAACTTTTATAAGCGACGCCTTTTGCAAAAGACATAAAATCAGGACCCATAAACTTTCTCGCCCCTTTCCCGTCATCACTGCGGACGGATCAGACGCCCAGGGAGGACTCATCTCCCGATATTGCGTACTCACGGTCAAAATTGACCAGCGAACCATGATCGGAAAGTTTAACGTGGCAAAATTAGCCAAGCAAGACAAAATCCTCCTAGGATTCCCTTGGCTCTCCGCACTGAAACCCCAGATCAATTGGGAAGCCAAGACAGTATCACTTCCACCAACAAAGAGATCATTGGCTATAGAAAAAGATATCGATAGAAAACGACGAAGAAGAGCCCTCCCACCTCTCTTCAAAGAGAAGAGGATCGTCGAAAAGGAAGCCTCTCGAGTTTGGGTAAATTCTAAACTACGGAAGCCAGTACAGGTGAAGGTGGCAACTAATGAAACCCCCTCCCCCTATACCGCTTCCGTAGAAGAAGAAACGATGGATGAAGAAACTCCTAACTACGACACCAAGGACGACGTCTGGTCAGAAAATTTTAGACCCCCAGTCTGCGATCCCCTGGCTTATCAACTAGCCAACGATGAAGTACTCGTTGAATACGCCACTGACGGAACAACAGTACGCATCATCGAAGACCTATCTTTCGATACCCCGCTCGTTCGAGACGGAACATCAAAGAGAGAACAAAACTTCGGAAAGACAAGCAATAAGGCCCAGGAATTCGCAGTCGCAGGAGAAATAGAAAAACAGAAGAAAACCTTTGAAGAACTTGTTCCCCCCTTTCTACACCAGTACCAAGATGTTTTCGCCAAAGATGGCCTTAACAAACTTCCGCCCGAGAGACCTGGGGTAGATCATCGTATCGACCTCAAACCAGGATTCGTACCCAAAACATCAAAAATTTATCCACTATCAGGAAAAGAACGAGAAGCGGTCAAAACGTTTATCGAAGAAAACACCAGGAAAGGTTTCATTGTCCCGTCCAAATCCCCTCAAGCTAGCGGATTCTTTTTCGTAGGAAAGAAAAGCGGAGAATTACGCCCCTGTCAAGATTACCGGTATCTTAACGACTGGACCATACGAAACCAATACCCTCTTCCCCTGCCAAAATCCCTCATCGAACGACTCTATGACGCCAAATACTTCACAAAGATCGATATAAGATCTGGGTACAATAACATTAGAATTCACCCCGAAGATCGCTGGAAAGCAGCGTTCACCACACAAGAAGGGCTATTCGAGCCAACGGTCATGTTCTTTGGACTAACAAACTCCCCCGCAACATTCCAGGCGTTTATGGCAAACCTCTGTCAACAACAGATAAATGAAGGGTGGTTGGTTATCTATATGGACGATCTCTTGATCTTCTCAAAAGATCTGCAACAACATCGATTACGGACGATTGAGATCCTCAATATCCTCCGGAAGGAAAAGTTGTTTGTCAAACCGGAAAAGTGCACTTTTGACGCTCAAGAAGTGGAGTATCTCGGAATGATAATCCGACCCGGAGAAGTAGGAATGGAACCCGCCAAAGTAGATGGAATTAAGCATTGGCCGACCCCGGAAAACCTGAAGGACACACGATCATTCTTGGGGTTCTGCAATTTCTACCGAGCGTTCATCGCTCACTACTCTGACATCGCCCGACCCCTTATTGACCTTACCAAGAAAGATCATCCCTTCTTATGGACAGCCGACTGCCAAAATGCCTTCGACCGTCTCAAAAACGCCTTTTTATCACAACCAGTACTACGAAACCCTGACCCAACCCGACAATTCGCAATTGCCACCGACGCATCGCTTGTGGCAACCGGAGCGGTGTTACTACAGACTGATGAAAATGGGATGTACCACCCATGCGGTTATCTTTCTCAATCGTTCAACTCTGCGGAACGCAACTACGAGATCTTTGATAGAGAATTATTGGCAGTCGTCAGAGCACTTTCCGAATGGCGCCACTACCTGGAAGGAAGCCCCCATGTTGTGATAGTATTCACAGATCACATGAATCTCCTCTACTTCCGCTCCGCTCAGAAGCTAACGAGAAGACAAGCACGATGGCAACTCATCTTGTCCAACTTTCAGTTGGAACTACACCACGTCGCAGGAACCAAGTTAGCTGCTCCTGATGCGCTTTCCCGACGCCCGGACCATTCACTTGGAAGAGATGACAACGAGAATCGCATTCTCCTCCCTGACACCATGTTCGTACGACTGATTGACGGAAACCTATCGGAAAGTATTGCACGTAACTCCGCCAACGACCCTGTATACCAGAAAGCCCTGGAAGCACTAGACGGAGTGTGCCTTCCCCCCATGAAATCCGCCCTCTCTGACTGGACATGCACCAACGGCGTCTTATTTTATAAAAATAGAGCTTATGTGCCAGCGGCCCAACGGCACGATGTGTTGTTCAAACACCATGATCATCCTACTGCCGGACACCCTGGCCGGTTCAAGACTGAAGAGTTGGTGAAGCGGGACTTTTGGTGGCCCGCCATGGGGACCTATATTCGCAAATATGTCGATGGTTGTGCCTTATGTCAGCAGATGAAGGCCGACACGCATCCTACTACC